GACTTATTGGGAATAGGTGGACTTATTGGGAATAGGCGGACTTATGGGGAATAGGTGGACTTATGGGAAAGGTGGGGGGAAAGGTGGACTCGCCCCACCGTGGGGGAGAAGTGGGGAATAGGTGGACGTATGGGGAAAGGTGAGAGAAAAGTGGATTTATGGGAAAAGGTGGGGAAAATGTGGACGAATGGGGAAAGGTAAGTGGGGGGAAGGTGAACTCGCCCCACCGTGGGGGAGAAGTGGATGCCACCCACCGGAAATTTGTCGTTGAATTGACGTTGATTTAACGTTAAAATACCTTGAAATAATGTTGTATTAACAAGATTAATCCGTAATCGACGTTCGTTCGACTTTATTTACCTGGAGACTATTTTTTTTGGGGTGGCGTTACTAACGTGGCACTGACATTGAAATGACTTTGAAAATTAAACGTTATATTTTTGAAATGGAATTTAAATAGCGTTCAATACACGTTGCTTTTACGCGATCGTCTTGTATTGTTTTGTATTACTTTTACATTTATTACGTATTTCTTCTTCCTATGAATTTCAGAGACATAGACGAGCTGTCTGAGTTGTCAGAGCGCTACTCTGCGTCGTCTTCAGAGCGCTACGACTCTGACTCTGACTCTGACGTTAAGTGTGTCATTATCGTGAAAAATAAGTGTGTCATTATCGTGAAAAATAAGTGTGTCATTATCGTGAAAAATAAGTGTGTCATTATCGTGCAAAATAAGTGTGTCATTATCGTGCAAAATAAGTGTGTCATTATCGTGCAAAATAAGTGTGTCATCATTTGGACAATTTGACTCATTCATTTCTTCTGAGTGTAGTGATATTACAATTATTATCTCTCTTCATTAAAATATCCGTAAAGGAGAGACTAGGTAATGCACGAAACTCATTTTTGTACATTTATTTTGTTTTGTTGTATGAATATATTTTTAAAAATCAACTGTCCGTTTTTATTATTTAATTAGGATTTCATGGCGTATGATGAAGAGACGAACTTGTGTCAGTGGTGCCAAGTTTTCTTATCATCGAGCGATTTTTTTTTATGTATTCCTACTGTGAATAAATTAAATAAGAATTTGAAAGCAAAGGAAATACCCAATAAATTCAACGTATCTTTATTAATTTATTCAACAACTGAAAATTTTTCAGAAGCCAACTCCATCATTAGTTCAAAAATTTTGACAATTCAAGTACAGTCAATAGAGAAAATCCTAATTCACACAAGGGAGATTAAAACCAATAGACCGAAAAAATTAATAGTGCCTATAAAAACCAATGGATTAACAATTCCTAGTAGATAAGAACTGCAAGCCTTATTAAGGCGAGGTTTCCGCCTAAAATATTCAGAGATTCCAAATACTAGATTCGAAACAACGAAAGCGAAACCGAGGATCTTGAAATAATATTCAGACACAATCACGTTGCACTGTTTAGCGTGAAGGCGGGAAGATAGGGTGAGAAAGTAGAAGTTCAGAACCATAACTCCTGCCGCTGTGTTCGGCAATCCCGATATAGAAGTTACGCCACGTCATTCCGACGATGCGCACCGCGCACAACTGTATTCATAAACCTTGGAGGCTGCATCTTTGCTTTCGAATTTTTATTGAACTTGCGATTTACGTAGACTGTGAGGATAAAAGTACTCGTATGAGTTATGAGCCACTATTAATGTAATGTTCATTACACTTTTATTTATTATTTCACTGCTGTTGATATGAATTAATTGTTATGTTCATATAGCTGATATCGTGAGTCACTGCACCGCTGGCAGCGTTGACACCAGAAATCACTGCACCACTGGCAACAGTGACGCAGTGACTCACTGCACCACTGGCAGCAGTGACGACGAGCTTGCTTCGCACAATTCGTGAGTATTGACAGCCGATGGCACCACCAACCTGGGTTAAGAATTATGGTGTTGATACAGGAGTGCTAATGAGGGTCGCAGACTACAAGGCTTGCGAGGGGTTACAGAAAGACTTGTCGACCATCTACGATTGGGTCATATTGAATAATATGCAATGCAATAACAGCAAGGTTAAAGTAATGAAATACAGAGTTGGTATAATGGTTGGTATGATGCACCGCTACTTGTGTCGGACGAAGGTGGTACATCAGCGTGACTATGGACGAGGACGTCCTAAACGTGATATAAGAACACGAATAAACCTAATGCATGGGGCCATTACACGCAACAATGTACATGATGAACATGCAGGATTATGACTTGCAACGGAAATATTGTCATTGATTAAGCTGTGTCATACAAAAATGAACTATTATTCTTAGTAAAGCATAGTGTTACTGTGTTAGTCACACCTTATGCGTTTCCTTTCATTTTACAGCAAATATTTGAAATAATAATTTATTGACCTTACGTTTGTGGCAGCCTAGAAGAACTAGAGAGTTTAGTGTGAACACGCTGTTCAGAGTGAATAAAATATTCAGAGATTCCAAATACTCGAATCCAAGCAACGGAGGTGAAACCGAGGATCTTGAAATAACATTCAGACACAACCACGTCGCACTGTTTAGTATGAAAGCGTGAAGATAGAGTGAAAAAGTAGAAGTTCAGAACCATAACTCCTGCCGCTGTGTTCGGCAATCCCGATATAGAAGTTACGCCACGTCATTCCGACGATGCGCACCGCGCACAACTGTATTCATAAACCTTGGAGGCGGCATCTTTGCTTTCGAATTCTTATTGAACTCGCGATTACGGAGACTATAGGGATAAAAGTACTCGTATGAGTTATTAGTCACTATTTAATTTAATGTTTATTATATTTTTTCACTGCTGTTGATATTATTAATTGTTATCTTCATATAGCTGATATCGTGAGTCACTGCACCGCTGGCAGCAGTGACACCAGGAATCACTGCACCGCTGGCAGCAGTGACGCAGTGACTCACTGTACCGCTGGCAGCAGTGACGACGAGCTTGCGTCGCACAACTCGTGAGTATTAACAGCCGCTGCCACCACTAGTCTGAGTTGAAAATTGTGGTGCTGATACGTGAATGCTAACGAGGATCACAGACTACATGGCTTGCGTAGAGTTACAGAAAGACTTGTCAACCATCTACGATTGGGTCATAGTGAATAATATGCAATGCAACAACAGCAAGGTTAAAGTAATGAGATACAGAGTTGGTATAATGGTTGGGATGCTGCACCGATACTTGCATCGGACGAAGGTGGTACATCAGCATGACCGTGGACGAGGAAGTCCTAAACGTGATATAAAAACAGGAAGAAACCTATTGCATGGGGCCATTACACGCACAGTATAGATGATTAACATGCAGCATTATCACTTGCGTCGGAAATATTGTCATTGATTAAGCCGTGTCATAGAAAATGAACTATCATTCTTAGTAAAGCATCGTGTTTGTCACGCCTTAAGCGCCTTAGGCGTTTCCTTTTATTTTACAGCAAATATTTGAAGTAATAATTAATTGCCATCAGCTTTATGGCAGCATAGAAGAGCTAGAGAGTTAAGTGTGAATATGCTGTTTTGTGAGAACACGCTGTTATGTGTGAACACGCTGCTCTGTGTGAACACGCTTTTCTGTGTTAGCACGCTGCTGTGTGTGAAGACGCTTTTCTGTGTTAGTACGCTGTCCTCTGTGAACACGCTGTTCAGTTAGTTTTTAGTATTGAACACTGTTTCTGACGAGCTGTGCGTGAATGTCTCCAGGTATACAAATATAGTATTCAAGTTTTTTTTATTAATTTATTTATTATTTCCAGTCCAGACACCAGTTTTTCATACAACCATTCGTATCTCACGAACCTCTAAAAAAATCGTATCACGTGCTGCTCACCACTTCTTTTTAACTGTCTCCCGCAGATCTGCATCATCACGATCCGAGATCAACGTTTATTCGGTGTCATCAGCCAAGATCTTCCGTAGATCATCGAACGATCATCCTTCCGATCTTTCTACTGTAAAGATCGCCTCTCAAACTAATTCGACGCACAACCGAAAATATTCATTAAATAATTCGCTCCCTGACCAAAACCAGTCAAATTCTTCTAGCCTGCAAACTTCAAATTATTCATCACCATCACGCCCAAAAATTCAGAAACCTCTGTCGACCAAACTAAAAATTACAAAACCTTCAGGAAATTCAGTGTTTCTTTCAAAAAAATCACAAGTAAAGAAGACGACGAGCATTCCTGATGTAGATGCAAGTATTTTAAGTCCTCCCACGGAGGTACCAGGCCCCGAGGACGACGCCCCCAGCAGGAGCGAGAGCGTCGCCATAACCGACCCCCCCGACGACCTGACGGTCACTGAGGGGAGAACCGCCAGGCTCGTGTGTACAGTCGCCGCCAGAGGGCCTGTTGGTGAGATAATATATAGAATGGACAGGATAGAGGGACAGATACAATAGGTGGACTAGATAGGATGGATAGAGGGACAGATATGATAGGTGGAATATTTAGGATGGATAGAGGGACAGATATAATAGGTGGAATAGATAGGATGGATAGAGGGACAGATACAATAGGTGGAATAGATAGGATGGATAGAGGGACAGATACAATAGGTGGAATAGATAGGATGGAAAAATATGTTAGGAAGAATAGGTAATATATATGGGGTAGAATTTGTAACCGTAGCACAGTTGTAGCGGCATAGAGATGTGAGGAGCGGGTCGTGGGTTCGAGCCTCAGGAAGCTCAGTTCATTTCTCGGTGGCGCTTGGTGGCCGTCAAATGTGGTGCTTGCAGCATGGCCTAGGGTTGGTGTCCCTAACGAACGCTGTGTACTTGTTGCCTGGAGGGATTTTAAGTTCATAAATATGGGTAGATAGAGTAGATAAAATAGATAGAATAGATAATGTAACGAAACCGGGACATGAATATATATTTTTCGAAGTAGATAAAATATATAGAATGGATAGCGCATCGAAACTGGGACGTGAATATATATTTTTCGACGTAGATAAGATATATAGAATGGATAATGCATTGAAACTGAGACCTGAATATATATTTTTCGACGTAGATAAATGTATAGAATGGATATCGCATCGAAACTGGGACCTGAATATATATGATACGACCACATGGTGCTCCATGGTACCGATACCTACCATATCCGCACCACGTCCGCAGGGGTGAGTTGGTACCACGACGGGACGATGCTGGGACGTGGCGGGGGACGTACGGTGGGCGGCAGGGACGGCGCCGTTCACCGCCTGGACGTGCTGGAAGTGGACGGTGCAGTGGCGGGGCGGTACAGTGTAGCGGCGTACACTGCACAGCACTGCGTGTGGCAACACTGCACACTGCGTGTCAGAGGTGGGCTGTGTGCCCAGTAGTGGGCTGCGGAAACCAATTACTCGGAAATCTCTTTTTCGATAATTATTTATTTTATGGACAGATGATGAATCAATCTCTTTGAAAGATTTTTGTAATTAGAGAGTTTTCAGAGTTGTTGCAAAGATATTGCAAATGGGTTTATGGCCATTTTCTTTACATTAGTGTGAAATATATTATAATATTATGTGTTTATTAGATATTATTATTATTTATTATATATTAAGTGATTAATATATTATAATATTCTTTATATTATTACAATAAAAATATTCGTTTTTCTCTCAACACAGCCTCGTCGAAGCCTCGCAGGCCTCCCCGTGTGGTGAGGCCTCTTCGCCGGGTGCTGGGCCAATCCCCACAACATGGGGGTAACGGGGACGAAAAATTACCAGTATCTGGGCACCACGACAACGTTGACCAAGTTCCATCCCCTGGGGATGAATTACCTCAACCGCTTGGGGAATTCGGTGGAGATCCAACCAAACCTGCTGGGGATGATGAGTTTTTAGTCCTCGAGTGTCAGGTCGCTGGGCATCCTGAACCCCACGTGGTGTTCAGGGCTGGGGAAACTATCCTCACTCACAACCCCCCTGCAACCCGCATTGGTGAGTAACACAACCCCAAGACACGGGGACCTGGAGTGGGGAACTCGTTTCTTTCCTGCTTATCCACAACCCACAATCTCACGCCCCATTGAAGTTGTGATATTCTTTTTCATATTTTGTTTGGAATGTAAACATTGAACTTGACCTCTATCATTCGTCAATCAGTATCATCATAATGATATTTTTTATTCACCTCGATAGCTTCCCTATATAGTGCCAATTATTTCTCTTTGGTGGGTTTTGTCATAAAATAAAGGGTGACCGCAGGGAAAGGAATTTATTCACCCATGTGACTCACCCTCGCCACCCAGCGGGTGACCAGTACGGGTCATGGGAGGTACGGGTGAAAGCGGCCGTACTCACGCTGGGGGACGTTAGTGCAACGGCCATCAGCTCGGAAGGGACCGTCATCACGACCTGGGATGGTGTCACCACCACTTGTGATGGTGTTATCACCTCCTGTAATGGTATCACCAACCACCCTCACCACTCGTCTCACCATAGCCAGCAGGTTGGTCCTCCATTAGCTCTAACAACCATAGTAGCAAGCCGCTCCTGCTATGTTTTTGTCCCCTGGACATCTTTTAACTTGACCACGCTTCAATTATTCTACTTATACTCAACTTGGTTAAAATCTTTATAACACAGTTGCTATTAAAATCGTCCAAAACACTGGACAAATTACGTTTGTGGATATTCGTTGGTCAATCGAAGCGTCCACTGAAGCGAAAACATGGGCGAGTGAGTCAGCCAATCAGAGATCTGCAACACAGGCACTGCCTGGAGCAGCACCGACATGCCTCCTCGCCTGCCACTGACGCACTGAGCTTAAGAGTCTGATTCACCGCATCACGCCCTAACGACATGTTTACGACACACTTAGAGATATTAATTAATATACCTACGTGTAATAGGTTCAGAGTATTGAAATAATAACAAGATCTTTCCTTTCATAACAGCTCTTCACTGTGTTTACGTCTCTTCACACTCAGAAAAATTAGGGAGTTTTTCAAAATAACAATGCGCTTTTTGGTCATAATAGGTTATTCCGTCGTAGTTTAAACCGGCAATAGAGGGTATCAGTGCTACATGCATAAAGTGTCACTATTTGGACAAGATGACTCATCCATTTTTTTCAGTGCACGTTCCTAAAAGTCATTAACCACCTCCTAAAACTTCACCAAAATTTCCTCATCTCTTGACCCAGTCTCCCGCCACATCTCACCACCGCGACCGCTGCCGCTGTGCTATGTTTTTGCCCCCTGGAAATTTTTTAACTTGGCCACGATGCGATTATTTTACTTTCACTTTACTTTGATAAAAATCTACCTAACACAATTACTGATTAAAATCGTCCCAAACACTGGACAAATTTCGTTTGTGTATATTCGTTGGTCAATCGAAGTGTCAACTGAAGCGAAAACATGGGCGAGTGAGGCAGCCAATCAGAGATCTGCAACACAGGCACTGCCCGGAGCAGCACCGACATACCTCCTTGCCTGTTACTGACGCACTGAACTAAAGAGTCTGATTCATAGCATCACGCCCTAATGAAATGTTTACGACACAATAAGAGAGTTTAAAATACCTACGTGTAATAGGTGCACAGTGTTGAAATAATAACAAGATCTTACCTTTCTTAACAGCTCTTCGCTGTTTTTACGTCTCTTTACACTCAGAAAATTAGGGAGAGTTTTTCCAAATGGCGATGTACTTTTTTGTCATTTCGTGTGGGTCATTCCGTCTTAGTTAAAACCGGCAATAGAGCGTATTAGTGCTACATGCAGAAAATGTCAATATTTGGACAAGATGACTCCATTTTTTTCAGTGCACCTTCCTAAAAGTCATCAAATAACTATACCATAACAACTACAGCCCCTATAACTTCACCATAATTTCTTCATCTCGTGTCCCAGTCTCCCGCCACATCTCACCACCGCGACCGCTGCCGCGCAACTGAACAGCTGCAGCCACACGCAGCTGCCGCAGCTGACGACGCCACGCCGACAGACGAGCATGACTCAGCTATTTTCATCGCTCAACCCCAACCTGGTGAGTTAAAACGATCCATTTTACTTCATAATGCTACTTTTTGTCGCTGAATGGTGTTGAACTTGATTATTTTTATTAAGTGATGAATTTTTCATTCGATTTGCGCAGATTCAGCACTTACTTTTATTTTTGATTACCCTATTTTAAATTTAAATGAGGTAGACAATTCAATAATTCAATCGTTTGATCACTATTAAGATAGATTAGTATATTATTAGGATAACATTTAAAGACAAAACTCAAACTCGATGGTAATCTAATAATAATGCAAAGCTCAATATTCTTAAGCTAAAGGCTGTAAATTTTCAAAATAGAACTTGTATAGCCGAGTTAAATAAAGTAATATATAGTAATATTTAATACATATGGCGCCACAGGTACTTATGAATATCATGTTAAGAAAATTTATTGTATATAAAATATTTTTATTGCATTAATGTATTTTGATTAGAGTTATCAGGTTGCAATAATGTTGTAATGTTGTTGAATATATCAATGGTAATAAAGGTATAGGTAATATGAATGGTTGAATCAAAATTTTACTTTATCTACCAAATAAAGTATTATGGACGAGATTTACTATTGATTAATGCATTCGTAATAATAATACATATGTAAGTAATTTGTATTTAATATGTAGCTTTTTGGTTAGTTTTGAGGTTGGTGTGAGATGTTGTTATAAAGGCTAAAAATTTTGGTGTATTTATATGCGAATTTTTTATCTGCACTGCCAAATGTGACTACATTCGTTTTTATGAGTATTCTGTTTATATTTTCTCTTATGAGTATTTATTGAATGAGGAATTTAAAAGCAAAGAAAACAGCCAGAATATTAACCATTTCTTATGAAAGAAAACGTTTCGGAGTCCAGCTCCATCGTCAGTTCAAAAGTTAAAAACCAGTAAACGTGGTAACTGTTCCCTTTACCACGTTTACTGGTTTTGAACTTTTGAACTGACGATGGAGCTGGACTTCGAAACGTTTTCTTTCATAAGAAATGGTTAATATTCTGGCTGTTTTCTTTGCTTTTAAATTCCTGATTAACTTGCGATTTAAGCAATCTAGTAATTTTATTACTTAGTGAATGAGTATTCGGTTTGGTCCGTGTGATATCCTGGGTATTCTTGGTTCACCTTCTCGTGGTAAAATGCTCTGGTAATTCAAGATATTTTCTCGGAAATATTTTCTATCGAGTAGAAGTAGCTAGCATTGTTTGTCGAGTAGAAATAGTTCGTTTTTAATATCGCCGTTAAATTTATATATTTTATTTATATGCGAGAATTAGAGCTGCTTTCTTGCGTTCGTATAAAACTCCAAAATTTTGTATAAATTCATGAAATCAACGGCAAGACCTCAATCGGAAAAAAACTAAACTTCGCTCGGCTAACTTTGTACGTTTGAGAACCTCCGGAAAACTCTCGAGATTTAATCCGCACATTTAATTATTATTTTTCGTAAACTCTACGGGATTTACTCCTAACATTTTATTATCTCTTCTTTGTTAACAAATTTTAAAGAATTTACTTCAAACATTAAATAACCCCAAAATTCTTTTGTTTTTACTACAAAATTTTGATTAACTCGCCCAAAATTCGTTCATATTGCCTAAATTTCTTTGCTGCAAATGAGAATTGTCCGTTCACATTCTATAAATTGCTACATCACTTTGTTTAGTAACATCGTAATACTATACAATAAACATTATTTTGGGTGATCCACACGTGATAGAGAATAATTTCACATCTAAAAAATTCTGAGCTATCATTTTCAGTTGAAAGGAAATAAGTTTATTGGGTGATTTGTTGCATGCAGGTTGGCATTGTCAGTTTACAATATATGTAATTTATGGCTCACAAACATAAATGCACGCCATATTTGGCCTACATTTAATTATGTATCTATAATTATCATTCACAGATCTATTATCATTCACGCATCACTTGTCGTAGTTTTACCAGTCGTATCTACTAATATTTTTCACACAACTCTCGTTATGATCCTCATGTATCTTCTCATCATTCACACAACTCATAAGAATATTTTCATATCATTCACGGGTTCGGGTTATTCTCCAATGAATTCTTGTTACGTAAAAATAAATCAATCGTAAATGAACGAAATTAACAGGGAAGTTTCCGCTATTTTTGGGTCCATCAATTTCATCTCGCAATGTTGAATTGCATTTGTTCTGTCAAAAAGTTTATTTTTTATTGGTAGGGCGAGAACTTCGCGACTCCTTATTATTTATTTAGCTAAAATTTTTCGTATATTTTCGCATTTATATTTGAGCAAATTGGGGAATTGAGTTTTAACTTAGCCGAAAAACAACAGGTTTTGTCAAGTCACGAGATCATAAAACTGGATGAATTTTTTAGTACAGGCGTCGCAACAACTTGGAATTATTCACGAAAATTTGAAATCGAAGAAAACCGCAAGTAATTCACTATTTCTTCAATTAAATCTTTCGACAACCAGCTCCATCATCAGTTCAAAAATTTAGATTAGATAAGTGCAGTCATATTACACATCCCGTATAACCCTAACCCTAATGATTTTACTGTACAATCTTAGTGATTTTGTATGCATTCTCTAAATTTTTTAACTGAACCTTCAGCTAATCCCCTGAAAATTTTCGTTGAATATACGGAGAACCTACTTGATGTTTTCTTTGCTTGTAAATTCAAAAGGAACTTGCAATCAAGCAGCCAAACGATATTAGAAACAATCCCTTATTGCCCCGGCAATCGTTATCAGAGTGTATCTGAGGCCAGAGATAAGCATCTCAGCAGAACGTGCCGACCATTCGAGTGCCGTTAAAAGTCTGCACTCTGAGCCATTTATAGCTTTTTCGCTTTAAGTTTTGACTCTAGAACCAATATTACAAATTACAACTATTTGGCCTTTATCATTGAAATTTTGATTTTAGAACCAATGAGCCGATTTTATGGTAATTTTCTCTTGAATTTTCGACTTTAGAATCAATATTCCCGTTTTCAGCCTCCAAACCGAACATTATACCACATATTATTCCGGGTATGGGACCAATGTTCCAGTCATTGTTCGAAAACAGTCCCAAATGAAAATTAAGTAGAGAAAAGCTTCTTCGAAATTAGAAATTAGAAAAAAAGCGTAATAACTTCATCATATTTTTAGTGAGAACTTTGAACATGCGGTTAATTTTATTTTAATTTTTACTAGTTTTTAAATTCTTAGTTAGTTTTAGATTTAGGCTAAAGAATGAACTAAATCTAAAATTTATTAATGTTCCTGCATAATAAAGCGCAGGCGATGTCAGTTCAGGGAATGTTTGTAGGAATAACCGTCACAGGCTACAGCATTACTGGGTGTTGAAGCTTGACTTTTATTTCCATCAGTGACGTGAGTGGCAAAGACGACCTCACGTCGAACGTCACTGACGACGACGATGAACTGCTCTCGTCCAAGAGTCGCGACCTGACGCGTTACCGACGTGATTATTACGTCGCTAACACGTCATTAAAAGAGACGTGCACGTCGTCATGGCTACGCAGTGATAACGAAGCTTCCGTTAACGTCAATGACGTAAGAAAGAGGGACGAATCGACGACGAGAGATGACGAAGAAAGGACGAGAGAACGCTGCGCAGGCGACATGGGGAAGGAGTCACCGTCTGAGGTGGTTTACAGTGCATGCTCGTCCAATCACGTCACTAGTGGTGTTACTAACACTAATGTCGTCACTAACACTGATGTTATCATTGGCACTAGTGGTGTTTCTAACCATAATAGTGTCCCTAATGTTGTTACTAACACGACTGGAGTTACTAACACTAATGACCTCACCAACACTAATGACTTCACTATCACTAATGTGGTCACCAACAGCATTGACGCTCCTAACGCTTCTTTGCACGAGAGTCTAGCACTAACGGGTGCCAGCGGTTCTTCTTCAACTACTAATTTATCATCTCAAAATCCACCGACAAATAAAATTGAACGCGATCTAATTCATTGCATTCCGCATGCCTCCTCGCCTCGAGTTGAGTTTTCTTCTAACCACACCCATTCGTGCACGCACAACGAATTCTTAAGCTGTACGAACGTGTGTGGTATATCGTTAGTGAACGAATGCAATTACCGCGATTATGGTTGTGGTAAAAAGTTGTTTACTCCGTCTAACAAATGTTCAGTGGGAAGTGCTACCGCTGGTAAAACATGTTCATCTTTCAGTAATAAAAGCCCTTTGTCTCGCTCCTTTGCCGTGCCTGCTGATGGATCGATGAAATTTTCTTTGGATATTAATATGGTTCCATCAGCAGGCAATTCATTACATGTAACTACTGATGAATCAATTAGAGTTGATAACCATGCGAGGTTATCGACTGAAGATGCCGCTGTTGTAAAGCACTTTGAACGATCGTTAGTTCAACGTAACAGCTTACGCATGTCGCAACGCAGCAAAGCTAGTCGGGATTTTTGCCTTAATCCGATATTCAATGACGTCGTTGAAATTAAATCTTTTAATCCACATGCAGTGTTAAATTCTGGTCAAAGAGAGGGTGCATTCAAAGAAATTTTGGACAATGAAAAGAATGAAACACATGAAAAAATTGACGGGCTTGAGAGTGTGGAAAATTACTATGGGCTTGATAAAACTCATCGTACGAAAGACGTTCTTGCAAACAAGGATGAAAATATGTATATTTCCCATAATGATTTGCGTCGTTCGGCGCATGAATTTTACAATTTAGGAGAGGATCTCTCTGTAAATTCAGAGTTCAACAAACAAGAAATTAAAGATTCATTAACCAATTCCCTGGGTTCAGATCCTATAATGCAAGCATACGGTCACATTCCTCACCTGAGAGGGTTTAAAAGAGAGGGAAGCCTCAGGCTACCCTCACCCACCATCACTACTGTAGGCTATTCTCCTCGACGAGTATATTCTAATTCATCGTTAAAGATGAATAAATACAATAATTATTCAACACGAGATGATGAACAGGAAGACACAGTCCGCAACAAAGAATATCTTTACTCTTCCACTCAGGAAAATAAGAAGAGGAAAAAATATTACTCAGATTTCGATGACCGAGAAATCACCAGTACAGAACGACCACCATTTTCCTACAGCGGTCATTCCAGACGCAGGAAAAATCCAGCGAATGTTCATGAAAATGTTAGAGTGTCTAGTGACGGAAGCTCGTCAAAAGACACGTCCAGTTTTCGAAAATCAGGAAATATCGCTAAAAATTCACCTTTCACTAAAAGCGAGAACGTTTTTCGTCCAGAAAACCTTTTTCGTCCAGAAAACCTTTTTCGTCCCGGATTCAGACACTCTTTTTCAAAGTTCCAGTCCCAGCGCAATGAATGTGGTAAAAAAGCTCTCGCCAAGTCCAGCATTGACAGTTTCCACGGCACTGAATTAGAAACAATGTTTTAATCGCTCATGACTGGACACTCAAAGAAATGCGAGAGACTCTGCCTAACTAAGGATACAATTTTTGTTTTTGTATTAGTTATCCTAACCAAATTTCGCCCAGCAAAAGAACGTATCATTGCTATTTGAACAATATTACCCATTGTTTTTTTCGAGTAGACTTTTCCAACCATTACCGTTACTTTACATCAATAACCGAACTAATTTGCAATTATGCGCGTCGTCAATTATTAATGAGCGCATCAATTATTGAAAGTGGCAGTAGAAAAACTAGACGGCTTTGGTTTTCGTTTTCCGTCTCCTTTGCATAGAGGTTCTAATACCTGACTGCTGCTGGTCTTAAACTTTGCGATTTACAGAAAATATCTTACAAAATCTCATCAACTTTTGTGCTAATGTAATTTTTCTCTGATCCTTAGTCCTTCTTTTTAAAATCCTGATTAAGAAAGATAAATAATTGTGTGAATAATAACGAAATATTGCTGTCAAGAATTAATACTGAAATATGCAGTCGATAAAGTATTACTATGTATATTCCCGTCAGTAAATTAAAACGGTTTCCTGCAGTCAGTATAACGGTGTGTTTTGCAGCCAGTTAATCATTATTGAATCTTGCAGTCAGTAAAAAAACTACTGTACATTCCAGTCAGTGAATTCTGACCGAATCTTGTCATCATTATCGGTTTACTGTGTATTGTAGTCAGTAAATTAATATTTAATCTTGTAGTCAGTAAAGTATTACTGCATCTTGTAGTCAGTAAAGTATTACTGCATCTTGCAGTCAGTAAAGTATTATACACTTCGATATTTATTTCTCTACTTTCCTGAAGAAAACATAGATGTAGGCAGCGTGCAGCTGCAGGATGACAGTATCTGGGCCAGGAATGCGCTTATCAGTCGCCGTATCTCTGCTACTGATAACAATCTTGATGCACCAGCATCTAGTAGCCGACGTACCTGAATCTCTATGGTAGTGCATCAAGATCTCTAAAACATAATTCTTAACTTCGGAAAAAATTGATTGCGGGTAAGAGATTTGCAGGTCATAGATGTGCGGATCGGAGATTTGCGGGTCAGAGATTTGCGGGTCAGAGATTTGCTGTCAGAGATTTGCAAGTCAGAGATTTGCAAGTCAGAGATTTGCAGGTCAGAGATTTGCAGGTCAGAGATTTGCAGGTCAGAGATTTGCAAGTCAGAGATTTGCAGGTCAGGTATTTACAATTCAGAGATTTGCGGGTCAGAGATTTGGCACATGCGCATGAGCATTGGTCTAGTACACACGGAACTAGAGACTTGGCACATGCGCAGAGATAGTTACAATGCATGTGAATGTATCCACTATATTTACTATGTGCTAAAAAGCATCCTAATATTGTGCACTTTATTTTCATTTTGCATTGCACACCTTGCATGTTGGTATGTGAATAGATCATTAGAATATAACTCGATTTTAATCATTTGTTATAATGTCAATCTACAATGTTGCACATATTTAAATTTAATTAAAGATATTCAAAGCAATTTTGGGCTACAAAGGTTTCTTCCTATCCATATTGTATATTTTATGCCGATACAGAAATGAGTTGATTATGATATTTTTAAAGAAAACTTCAGGTCTTGCAGTCCTTAAATAATTAATTGATTGTATATACAGATATTATAATTATATATACCTAAATATAATTATATGTTTATATTATAATATATATATATAATATTCTATATTATTATATTTGAGAAACAACTGCGTTTATACTTGCCATCCTCGAGTGCGTTTTAGTGAAGCAAGACTTCCAATAATTAACGTAGAACTTTTCATTTTGCTTTATGAAAATTTAAACAATACTATTTTGATGCTGCCATGGATAGTCGGCAAGCAACAACAATTGCTACAACAACAACAACAACGGGAAGCTAAACAGCAACAGTCATGTCAGCAACACAACAAACTACAATAATGCTAACAATTGTAATAGTAAAGACAGCATTGTGACCTGCCGAGACGTCAATATTGATAACAATAATATCAATAAAAATAGTCTTTACAACCTCGGTACAGTCAACAACAACAGACATCGTAACAATGAAAGCAACAACATCAACGGCAACAATATCGACAATGAAATCAGTAACTGCAATAACGCTTTTACGAATTTGCTCAAAAAATATGATAACAGCAACAACAGCGGTACAAACTACGACAACAGCAGAAACAATAAAAATAGCAGCAGCAACAATAACAACAGCAACAACAACAGCAGCAGCAACAATAAAAACAACAGCGGCAGCAACAATAACAATAGCAGCAGCAACAACAGCGGGAGCAACAACAACAATAATAACAGCAACAACAGCGGGAGCAACAACAACAATAACAACAGCAGCAGCAACTGCAGAAGCAACAGTAACGACAATAACAGCAGCCGCAGCCATAACAGCATCAATAACAGCCCCACGGGCTGGGGAGTAGCGGTGCCGGACGCATATCATCCCCACGCCTCAGACTGGCGGGAGGAATGCAGCCTCAGCATCAAGGTGGGTTCCCCGTACCTTGAGGAATTGTGATGCCTTGGGGAATTCACGACACGTCAAGGAATTTAAATGAATTAGGGGAAAACATGACATGTTAGGGAATGTAAATGGATTTGGGGAATACATGACACGTTAGGGAATTTAAATGGATTAGGGGAATACATAACACGTTAGGGAATTTAAATGAATTTGGGGAAACCATGACACGTTAAGGAATTTAAATGAATTTGGGGAAACCATGATACTTTAAGGAATTTAAATGGATTTGGGGAATACATGACATGTTAGGGAATTTAATTGAATTTGGGGAATACATGACACGTTAGGGAATTTAAATGGATTCGGGGAATACATGACACGTTAGGGAATTTAAATGGATTCGGGGAATACATGACATGTTAGGGAATTCAAAATACTAATGAGTGAAGTGAGTATGCTTAAGCTTTATGGGGACATCGGTTTTCCCCTCTGGGGAAAATGTTCTTTACAAAAAACAACTGATTTTTCCTGATAAAGAAATAAATAGTTATTTTTCTTCATTTAAAAAATTATTTGATAAAAATAATTTCTTTTCAATACAATTTTTTATAGTGATAATTACTTCTCAAAAAGAACAATTTGGTAAAAAAAAACTTCCATCTTTCCCAAAAAAAAGTAATTTTACCCCAAAAAATTTTACTGCCTGCAAATCTTCCCTTTGTGAGAGAAAAATATATTTGATTGAGGAAGGCTTTCATAGACCAAACGAAATTGCATTTAAGTCGATGAAAATTTGGTTGCTATTTTAAAAAAATATTTGAGTTTATCTGGCGAAAAGAAATCGGAAGGCGAAATTTTTTTCTTATGAAACATGAAGGAAAAAAGAAGCTTTTTTTCGTGACCTTTGTTCAATATAAACGCACTCAGGGAAATGAGTGAGGCTTTGTCCTCATAGCGATGCAATTTTTGCCTTTGTGTGAGTCACCCTGACCCAGTTGGAAGCGGCAAAAGGCATATCCGTGTGATATACAAAAAGTGTGTCACAATTTGGACAACACGACAACTAAATTTCTGAGTGCATACTTCATCTTGAATTTATACTACCTGAATAAATTTGAAAATAACTTCTACCAGGCCCTGCGTTTGGCAGTTGTAAGGTGTGAATATTACGCCTCAATAACAATGATCTATTCTTATAATATAATTAGAATTCTTATAATATAATTATTCTTATAATATAATTATAATGAACAAAATGAGACGCCAGATTGACACGGTACACAGTTGTTTATACAGAAATACTGAAATTCACCTAGAGATGAACGCAAGACGTGTATTCATCAGTATTCACGACGCTCATTCATTTAGATCGAAATTTCAACACGAGGTTGCGATAATTCCTTATCTTCGATGCGATAAGATCAAATCTTCTTTGAGCTGCGATGAAATTCCATATCTTTTTCACGGTGTTATTCCTATCAGAACAGTTGCACCACAGTAAAACGTATATAGAATTTACGTTTCCGGTGAGAAATTTATCTTTATATTGATAACAATTTTATTATCGTCTGTCACGAAAACCGTCGGTAATTTTATTATCGGTAAAAGATGATGGCAGAATTTCTTATTTCAAACAGGTTTGATCAAAGACATGAGAATTAATTTTTATTGACAATTCTTCAAAATGTATAATTTCAATACTAACGAGAAAATTGTCAATAAAACAATAAAACTAATTCTCTGGGCTTCAATCAAACGTATTTTCCTATCGCAGACAACGCGTCACATCACACAAACCGTATGAACGTTATTACCGCAATTGTATAAATCTAATTATACTTCATGTTTGTTTAATCACCTGCGTTAAATAAATTAGTTAACTCTACATTGTTGATCGTTACTAATTAATGTGTTACTACCAACTAATGTGTTACTACCAACTAATGTTACTACTAACTAATGTTTAGCGTGACTAACTGCCGCTGGCTATTACCTAACCCGATGAATTTCTGAGAAATTCATGAATTTCTTATGTATGAATTGTATGAATTTCTGAGAAATTCATACAATCGGAAAATGAATGGGTTATAATATCCAAATACTGACACATTTTCTGCAAGTCCATCAATTTCTTTCGTGCAAATTTCTAAAGCGCTGTCTTTAATTACTTCTTTATTTGCAGATGCTGAGCATATTTCAGATTAATATATAATATAATAATTATTATTATAGAATTATCGTTTTTGTAGTAATTACAATATCTGAAATTATAATTATTATAATTCTTATTCAGAAATTATAATATCTAATAATATTATATAACTATTATATTATATTATCTGAATCATATGTATTATTATATTACGAATATTTATTATAATTGATGACCTCCCCCAGCCGGCATGCGTGGGGCGCGCCGTTGCGCGTCTGCAGCAAGCGATGACCCCCGCAGGGGGCAGACCCTCCCCCGCCGCCCCCTCCCGCCTCTTCAACCCTACCCCTGTGGGGGGGCCGCGGCATGTCATCTACAGCTCACATGAGGCGCTCAATCCTGGTGAATTTTTATGAGTTAATGAGTCACTCAAGTGAGTCAATGTGACCCACTTGAGTCAATGTGAGTTATTGTTGTAATACTTTGAGTCGTTCGAGTTAATCTATTGTCCGCGTTTACTATAAATAATTTTTTTATTATATATGACTGAAGTACTGTCCAGTTTTTAAACAATCCAAACCTCTCCAAGGCGCAGGCACCGCCCTGCCGACCTCCAGGGCGAGCCTCTGGCGCACCGTCAGCGTCGACGCTCTGCAGAAAAACTTCGAGAGCCTCAGCCGAGGCTCTGACGACCGTAGGGCGACCCTAACTCGGCCTTACACTAGAGCCCTGGGCCCGAGAACTTTGGCCTCTGAGAACCTGGAAACGGTTGATAGAAATAACCTGGAAACGGTTGACAGAAATAACCTGGAGACCGTTGACAGACATAACCTGGAGACGGTTGACAGACACAACGGTTCTGTGAAGACCACGTCAGGTCTGTACAGGAAACACGTCGTCAACAGGAGCAGCAGCAACAGCTTCATCAACAGAAGCAGCCATACCTCTAACAGGAACAACAGACTACGTCGCAGTTCTAGCGTAGACAAGAACAGTTTCGCGTCTCAATACGAAGGACTTCGTTTGTCTTTTGGGAGTCCTTTGGGACACTCGAATAGCATGGGACACGTCCCTCTTGGGGACTTGGAAGATGGGGACGGAGACTGGAACTCGACGTCCCAGCGATACCGCAGCCTGGAGAATTTCAGCGACTCGCATATCCTGTCACACGCGGCCGGTGAGTTGACTGGAGGCAATCTCCATACTCCTCAGGCTAGGCAATCTCCATACTCCTCAGGCTAGGCAGTCTCCATACTCCTCAGGCTAGGCAATCTCCATACTCCTCAGGCAAGGCAATCTCCGTACTCTTCAGGCTAGGCAATCTCCATACTTCTCAGGCTAGGCAATCTCCATACTTCTCAGGCTAGGCAATCTCCATACTCTTCAGGCTAGGCAATCTCTATACTCCTCAGGTTAGGCAATCTCCATACTTCTCAGGCTAGGTAATCTCCATACATCTCAGGCTAGGCAATCTCCATACTCCTCAGGCTAGGCAATCTCCATACTCTTCAGGCTAGGCAATCTCCATACTTCTCAGGCTAGGCAGTCTCCATACTTCTCAGGCTAGGCAATTTCCATACTCCTCAGGCTAGGCAATCTCCATACTTCTCAGGCTAGGCAATCTCCATACTCCTCAGGCTAGGCAATCTCCATACTTCTCAGGCTAGGCAGTCTCCATACTTCTCAGGCTAGGCAATCTCCGTACTTCTCAGGCTAGGCAATCTCCATACTCCTCAGGCTAGGCAGTCTCCATACTCAGGTTAGGCAATCTCCATACACCTCAGGCTAGGCAATCTCCATACTCTTCAGACTAGGCAATCTCAGTACACCTCAGGCTAGGCAATCTCCATACTCTTCAGACTAGGCAATCTCAGTACACCTCAGGCTAGGCAATCTCCATACTCTTCAGACTAGGCAATCTCAGTACACCTCAGGCAAGGTAATCTCCCCAATCCTCAGGCTAGGAAATCTCCGAACTCTTCAGGCTAGGCAATCTAGGGGATATTTAGACTACACACGATTGGTATTCTCTAGGCTAGATACGTGAGGTGCTCTTCAAGCTAGGCACTCTAGGTGCTCTTCAGAACATTTTCTTGCCCGGATGTTTAGGCAATAGGCATTTTAGGGACGTTTCAGTTTATTTCCTAGGACCTCTACGATACATGTGTACCAATATACCGAGGACGGACTTCATGAGCACAGCTCGTGGAAATTTTGAGCCCAAACGCCACCTTGTTTTCATGCTTATTTAAAAAATTTATATCATTTTATTGTTTGATAATCTATTTTTCGTAATAATCTATAATAACATTCAGTTGAGTTTTAACATCACTTGTCTAGCTGCTTCATTTGCACACCTCTTACTGCTCGAAATCGACGTTATTTTAAGCAAAATAAGCTCGTATTGAACGTTGTTTTATCTGACGTCGAAGTAGCGTTGATTAAACGTTTTGAAATTAACGTTGTTTCAACATCATTTGACTAACTGCTTCATTTGCATACTTTGTTATGTTCAGAATCGACGTTTTTTAACAAAATAAACTTATAATCGACGCGTTTTCTTACGAAATCCACGCACAGTTGACGATTTTTTCAACAAATAAACTCATAATAAACCTTATTTTATCTGACGTCGAAGTAACGTTGATTAAACGTTGTGAAATAAACATTTTCTCGACATAATTTTCATGGAAGGGGGTTACTTAATTTGCATGTTCTTCACTCAGGAGGAGTAGGTGGGGCAAGGGTGGGGCGTCGCTGGATGAGTGTTGGGGCAGCGCTCGACCTTCCCCAAGACCCGGGGCTGCTGCAGCTCCCCTCCGTGAGGGAACTCGCGTCTAAGTTTGACAGTCTGGGGGCGGTGACCCCTATTTTGCAGGTCAGTGCTTGAGCCGACTTTGTATTAGCTGTAATTGTAGTAATTACAATAGCTGAATATTATATTTATTATTATTTATGAATATTTATTATAATTGATAAGCTCGCGTCAAAGTTTGATAGTCTGGGGGCGGCGACCCCCGCTTGGCAGGTTAGTGCTAAAGCCAACTTTGTAAGCGAAATATTAGCTGATTGTTTTTGTAGTAATTACAATATCTGAATATCATATTTATTATTATTTTATGAATATTTATTATAAATTATGAGCTCGCATCAAAGTTTGACAGTCTGGGGGCGGCGACCCCCACTTGGCAGGTTAGTGCTTGAGCCGACTTTGTAGGCCAACTATTAACTGATAATTATTATTGTTTACTGTAATTTAATCAAAATTTAGGTTTAGTTATCTTTGATGTTGTAGTTCAGGGCGGACTTATTCTAATAATATAATTATGATTATATTATTAGATATAATAATATTCATTGTTATGTCTATTCTAATAATATAATTTCAGTAATAGAGAATAATTGATATAATAAGAATAAAATATAGTATTGATTATGCGTAAAATTAATATAAATTTTTAATTTTGGTAATATAACATTTATAGATCATTTATACAAGTTTGGTTTAAATAAGTGCCATTTTTACCTAAACGCGTTACCGGATTTTACAAACCTTTAATTTCGAATAATTTTAAGACCTGTAGACCTAACTAGTGTGCCTATTGTGAGACAGCTAGAGAAACTAAACTCCTTAAAAAATGCAGTATTGCATAAATACTAAATAATATTGCATAAATTGAATAAATTGCATAAAAAAATTACACTAAAATTGGCATTATTTTAAACCAAACTTGTCTAAATGAAGCTAGGAGTCTACCGAAAATATAAAAATTTTTGATAATATATATCATAATTTGTGTTAATGTTTTGGTCGACACAGCGACGTGCAGTGAAGGAAGCAAAAGCTACGGGCGCCGCCCCTACAGACGCCCTCCGTAGGGACGCTCCTACAGACGGGGGAGGTCGTCCTGCGAGACGCTTCAAGGAGGTGAGCTTAACTACTTGAACTACTAACTACTGTTATATAGGGTAACTAGTTGCGTTATTACTGCTGTTGCATGTTAATTGTTACATTATTACTACTGTTGTATATTGTAACTAGTTACATTATTACTACTGTTGTATACTGTAACTATTTACATTATTACTACTGTTGTATGCTGTAACTAGTTACATTATTACTACTGTTGTATGCTGTAACTAGTTACATTATTACTACTGTTGTATACTGTAACTAGTTGCATTATTACTGCTGTTATATACTGTAACTAGTTGCGTTATTACTGCTGTTACGTATATGTTACTATAGTTGCTGCTACAAAATTAATTTTAGTGTAGTTTTTTTAATAAGAATTCGAAGCGCCATTCATGAAATATTAATGAATGACTACCAGTTCAGAATAAATATTCATTACATTTTCACAGATATTAATATTACATGTTCAGAATAAATAATATAGTCATGAAATAACCACGCAAATTAGAAACGGTTGGATGGGTAACATTTGTAACACAAATTACGTTCATGAAACAGACTTTATCATGATTGGTTGATCTTGGTTTGAGGTGCAAGAGCATGAAAGCAGAGCATAAGTAGCCTAATAATATGAAGAAATGTATATTGTGAAATATTAGTGAATTAAATATTAGTGAATGAAATATTAATGAATGAAATATTAGTGAATGAAATATTAATGAATGAAATATTAATTAACTAAACATTAATGAATGAAATATTAATTAACTAAACATTAATGAATGAAATGTTAATTAACAAAATATTAATTAATGAAATATTAAGTAACAAAATATTAATGAATGAAATGTTAATTAACAAAATATTAATTATTGAAATATTAATTAACAAAATATTAATAATGAAATATTAATCAANATTAATCAATGAAATATAACTGAATGAAATATTAATCAATGAAATATAACTGAATGAAATATTAATCAATGAAATATAACTGAATGAAATATTAATCAATGAAATATTAATCAATGAAATATTAATGAATGAAATATTGATGAATGAAATATTAATGAATGAAATATTAATGAATGAAATATTAGTGAATGAAATATTAATTAACAAAATATTACTGAATTGCTGAGCAGGTTCACAGCTTAACGGCACGCAGCGTGCCCCGCGTGTTCAGGGAGGGCTTGAAAAACCATCGCCCCCGCCCCCCAAACCGGAATGTTTTGGGGGACCTTGTGAGGGGTGAACCCCCAACTACCGATGACGTCACCCATCACTCACCCAACCACCATCACTCACCCAACTACCATCACCACTACTCACCCACAGCCTCGACTTACTATAACTTCACCACAAACCAATCTGTTCAACCTGCCTTCAAGGGTGGTGATTTCACCCCCAACGAAGGGGGAATTTCTGCTGGGGTAGAACCTCCCCACCACCATCACCATCATCATTATCATCATCACTTAATGGATCATCTTGTGAACTCTTCCTCACCCCACCATCACCCTCACCACCTTCATCATCATCACCCCCAACTTGAAGAGGAATTGATGGGCAACGGGGAATATTGGTCCCACTTGGGGAATGGGGGTGTGCATGAACGGCCCATGGGGAATGGGGGTCAACATGTATATTCCCCCATTCCCTTGGGGAATGTGGGATCGGTCATTGGGGTTCCTTGGGGGAATTCAAGCGATCGTTCATTGGGGGAGGCAGTTCGGGATCGGTCCCCAGACCATTTAGGGATCCCCGGGTCCCGGGCCCAACTTGTCGCCGGTCCCAGACTCCCCATGATGGGGGACGACACTAGTGACGAGAGTCCCACTTCATCCCCAGCAGCGTCCCGGTCCCACAGGAGGGCAGTGCGCTCCTGCAGCAGCAGCGCGCGCTAAAGGTCCTGGAAAACACAAACAAAATTATAAAGTTTTCAAAGCAAATAGTAAACTCAATTTTAATTTGAACAGTTCTAGAAAAAAAATTAAAAAGTTTTCAATTCAAATAAATAACTAATTTGAAATTGAACAATTCTAGAAAAAAAATATTCAATTTAATAAATAACTCAATTTTAAAACGAGCAATTCCGAATCTGAAAAATCTAATGAAGTGTACGCTGGAAAAATGAGATTTTTTGCAGGGAATCGAACGCTAAATAAAATTTTCGATTCGTTGTAAAAATAATATACAATATAAAACAGTAAGTCAATTTATATAATTATCTACGAAAGAAGAGGAAGGTCCAAAATGGCGGAAAATGTTTTATTTTAATTATTCCGGGACAAATTATTCTCACATTAAGATAAACGATAATTGATTGATCATACTGGATAAGAAAGTAACTTTGAACTTAACTGAAGATTAAAGTTCTCAAGTTATTCAAGTTTGCATGCAAATGCAGAACTAGCGCGTCTAGCTTGCATTCAGAAAAATTAGTTGGTCTTTGTCTAAAGCAATGATACTCCAATTTTATGACTCAAACTGGGTCAGAATGACCCAGTTACGGCAAACAGAGAATCGCTCTTGGGACAATGAATCTCTCACTTCACTGAGTGTATGTTTACATTAGCGAGATATTTCATTCATTATTTCCTTCACGTTCAATGAATACAAATGATGTATCATTGAGTGCAGTAAATAGCTTTATTATAGTCACATTCATTAATAATCGTAGCCGCCTTATGTAAATGAAGCAATCTATATTCGAAGTTCTGTAAAGTTATGTAGATATAGCGGACATTGTTGTAGTCTGTGTTACATGTAACTAGTTGCTACATACATGTAACTAGTTGCTGCATACATGTAACTAGTTGCTGCTTATATGTAACTAGTTGCTGCATACATGTAACTAGTTGCTGCATACATGTAACTAGTTGCTGCATACATGTAACTAGTTGCTGCATACATGTAACTCTCTGTCTCTTATACACATCTAGATGTGTATAAGAGACAGGCATACATGTAACTAGTTGCTGCATACATGTAACTAGTTGCTGCATACATGTAACTAGTTGCTGCATACATGTAACTAGTTGCTGCATACATGTAACTAGTTGCTGCTTATATGTAACCAGTTGCTGCATACATGTAACTAGTTGCTGCTTATATGTAACTAGTTGCTGCATACATGTAACTAGTAGCTGCTTATATGAAACTAGTTGCTGCATACATGTAACTAGTTGCTGCATACATGTAGCTTGTTGCTGCATACATGTAACTAGTAGCTGCTTATATGAAACTAGTTGCTGCATACATGTAACTAGTTGCTGCATACATGTAACTAGTTTCGGTCTATAATCAATGACAAAAAAATTAAGCGTTTCAATGAAAGCATTTCTTACCTCATACGCTATGTGTTAATTTGCTATATGGGCCGTAAATTCTGGTAGAAAATGAATACAGTACATGAAAAATTCGTATTTGTCTAAGTTATTCATTTATTCATAAGTATATTTGCGTATATTCTGTATAATTGTTCTAAAGTTGTAGTGCGGTGACCGCTTTACATTGTGGGAGTTAGAGCTGTGCCATAATATTATGTTGGTTGCTTGGTGTGGAGTAACACCACTGCCACCACCACCACCACCACGATCAACACCACCACCACCACCAGTAACACCACCACCACCACCACCACCAGTAACACCTCCACCACCACATCCTCCACCTCTAATACTCCACTACACAGGTAACATGTCATTATTACTTTTATCCTCACCGCCACTAGTACCTTGGTTCCTACCCAACAAACTACCACTTCCATGCCACCACGCAATGTCTCGTCTGACGTGTAGCAACGTGCTGAAATATAAATATACCTGCCTGCAGTGTACTTATTACCATCAAATAATTGCCTTCATTGACAAATTTAATTATCGGAATTTAATTATTTAATAATAATTCCCTTTGATAATCAAGCAGCGAAAAGGCACTGCCGCGGTCAACGAAAACAAGGAGCTGGTGCCACTAAACGTTCCCGGCCTTCTTAACAACGCTCTTACTGTGGAGTAATTTTATTAAAGAAAATATGAATTATGTATGGAATAATTGGTGTAGATGATGGAAAGTGGAAAGAGGAGAAGGTAGAAAATGGATGACCGACCAGTAGAGCGTTAGGTGCAGGAAAGGGAAAAGGATCACCAGCACAAAAGCCAATCATTTGTTTGTTGGATTTTAGAGCTTAGAAAGCGGGGGCTTTCATTTTGCGGGACCCTTCAACTATAAACATAAAATTAATTGAATACTAAATCATCAAAAAAATTCAAGTCTTCAAGACTATATTGCAGACACAAAGCAAGATTTATTAAATCTTATCTGAAAAGCTTTACGATGCTCATGATAAATCAAGCTACAAGATAAATCTCGTGATAAACCGAGAGTCGGCCATCACTGCACTCATCCTCTTATGAAGACTCGCCAGGATGTAACGTGTAAGTTCAATGTTGTTCCTACGTACGTTAACGGAACTGGTGAACGATACTTTAGTGTAAAAGGTATTTCTATTCTGGCAATGACTTCTATGTTATTTGTACGAAGAAGATTAGCAGTCGTAAAGTTGTTGTTTTCTGCAACACATGAAAACTTGCCACTGATTTGTCAGCATTGTTAATCGTGCGTAGCCCCAACGACGTTGATGCAGTGTAGTCATAACGTTATTCGTACGAGGAATAACACTCCATTAAAAACAATACGATGCACGGCAGAGTAGTGGATGAGTGGACATCTTATCACAGATAAGATAGTGTGCAGAGATAACACTTTCATGCAAACGCGATGTTCATGTTAACTTAGTCCACCCTTTGCCGTCCCGCGGCTCCTACGCCTCTCGACAGGTACGATTTTAACCAAAAAATGTTCTACATTCGTTTTAAATTATAACAAATATGTCAACTACTTAATTCAGACGCTAATCAGACATTACAAGCATGTTAAGCTCTCATTTTAAGTGTATTTTACACAATGTATTCTGCATCGGTTATTATTTATATCAAACTTGTTAAATTTTTCTATTTTAGATGTTAGAAATTTTCGAAATCACTGCCGTGGCCGAGTATTACCTACGGACGAAAAACATTTTTAATAACTGCTTGATGGGATTAAACAGCGAACTGTGTATCAGATAATTTATTCAACCAGTTCAACCTTCATTCAACCTTCATTAAACCATCATTCAACGGGTTCACCTCCATTCAACCTCAATTCAACCGACTCAATCTTCATTTAAGCTTCATTCAACTGATTCAACCTCCATTCAACCAAATCAACTTCATTCAACCAAATCAACTTCATTCAACCAAATCAACCTTCATTCAACCAAATCAACCTTCATTCAACCAAATAAACTTCATTCAACCAAATCAACTTCATTCAGCCAAGCCAACCATCATTCAGCCAAGCCAACCTTCATTCAACCAAATAAACTTCATTCAACCAAATCAACTTCATTCAACCAAATCAACTTCATCCAACCAAATCAACCTTCATTCAACCAAATCAACCTTCATTCAACCTTCATTCAACCTTCATTCAACCTTCATTCAACCTTCATTCAGCCTTCATTCAACCTTCAACCAAATCAACCTTCATTCAACCTTCATTCAACCTTCATTCAACCTTCATTCAGCCTTCATTCAACCTTCATTCAACCAAATCAACCTTCATTCAACCTTCATTCAACCTTCATTCAACCAAATCAACTTCTTTCAACCAAATAGACCTTCATTCAACCAAATCAACTTCATTCAACCAAATCAACCTTCATTCAACCCATTAAGCATCCATTCTTCCCACCTTTATTCGTGCATCATTACCCTCTATTTATTCCTACGTTACTGGACATGCACAATTTAACTTAACCTTTCTCTCAGAGTTAACTTAACCTTCTCAACTTCATTCATCTCTCCTCTTAATCTTTAAATTTATCCACCACGTTACTATGGTGCTATAACAAAGCTTTCAACAATTATTATCAACTAAAATTGATCAATTTATTGATTAAAATAAATTTTAATTTATCATTATCAATGAACACACCGGGTAAGGAATGTTGAAGTAGCATTTAAGCAGGAGTTGATCGAGAAAAACATTATTTATACATATTTAAGTCACATTTTGATCACAAATCAAATGATTGGCGTGATGATTAAGCATCGGAATGATGTCACGGTAAATTATAGCGATGGTACCGGACCACGACGTACGTCCAGATAAGAGACACGAGATAAGCTTCAGTGTCGACCAACCGGGCTGATAAGATGCTAGGCTAAATGATCGCATCCCTTATTAAGGCATATGGTATGCCAGCGTTATCCCTTTACTTATGTTATCCCTTTGTACACCGGTCAGCATCAGGCTATTCCTTTCAGCAACAGGTAATCCCTTTCAGTAACAAGTTATCTCAATCGGTACCGATTATCTTTTCCAGTAGCAGGTTGCCCCTTTCAATTGTTATCCCTTTCCTTTCATTGTAAAACTATTTATTTCACCAGCAGTTTTCCTTGTCAGTATTAATTCTTTATTACATCAGCAGTATATCTCTTTCATTATAGAATTATTTATTTCATCAGCAACATATCTTTTCCATCATAAGATTGTTTTTATCGGCCTCAGTTCTTCCCCTACAGTTAAATATACCAGTGCGAGCTAAACTGACCTCCTCTATGAACATTACCGTAGATAAAATCTTATCATTCAGCATAAAACATGTTATCAACTGTCATCAGTCCTTAATGAACTGAAGAGGAATAGATGCAGTCAGATAACCTAGTCTATTTAGATCACATATAAAGAAAAATTATAGATTAAAACCAATTATCGAAAGCACTCAGAATATCAAAATGCGCAGTATAGTTCCTTTAAATAAATCGCGTATGGAATTAATGATGTGAATTCAGCTCGTAAAAATGAAATACGGCTAGTTAAATAGTTAATATTATTATTGATTATCTTATTTTGAACAGTTCATGTTATTATAATTATCTTATATAAACAAAATTATCAAAATAACTATATAAATGAGTCTAATATGAGGCATAATCTTTAATTTCGTAGGATACCAGCTAGGTTGCCCAGGTGCTTCTTCACACGTCTATTCTGTATGGCAAAAGATAAAACTTTTCATTATTATTTGACGCTCGCAGATCTACATTGTATTTTGGGACTCTAATTACAAAGAAGATCACACAAATTCTACTTTACTTGTCGGTAAATTACAGCTGTTCTTATTGAAATGTATAGGAAAATTTAAGTAGACCCAGATAATAAATCGAATATTCATCACACATTAACATAAATTGTAATATTTTATTGATTTGCAGAAGTCAGAAAACCTGTTGGCTTTCGTTGGGATTTGGCCACTCGACTGAACAATGACGGAGTTCACGTCGAAAAATAATGGTGAGTCATGAAATGAAAGCCATCGCTGTAGTATTAAAATGTCATTAGTATGTTATTTTATATGATATTTTAACTCACGTGATGATAGTTTTACTAACACGTTACAGCCTTAGTTTATAACAAGAGTACCTTATTTCCTAGTGAAAAAGTAAAATGAAAGTGAACAAAACTAGTATGAATGGAAACAAATGTTATATGTCTCATATGCTGCCATTGATTTTCCTATATTTTGTCACTGAGATGCATACATAAAGTTTATATTGACGAGTTCAGCAAAAAAGCGATATTGTATACGTGTTCCCATGACTAAATTTGTCGTAACGTTCTTAAACACTTCGGTGTATTCTAAGCATGAGTGCCTTAGATTGCAACGCATTTATAACGTTCTTTAAGTTAAGCCTCATCCCAAACAGGCATTTGGGCAGAGGAGAGTCGGCGCAGCAGTCGCAGTAGCACCTCCTCTTCCGGCAGCAGCGCCGTGACTGAGCTGCCCAGTTATTGATTATCTTATTTTGAACAGTTCATGTTATTATAATTATCTTATATAAACAAAATTATCAAAATAACTATATAGAGGAACCTAATATAAGGCATAATCGTTAAATTGGTAGCACACCAGGTTGCCTAGGTGCTTCTTCACACGTCTATTCTGTATGGCAAAAGATAAAACTTTTCATTATTATTTGACGCTCGCAGATCTACATTGTATTTTGGGACTCTAATTACAAAGAAGATCACACCAATTCTACTTTACTTGTCGGTAAATTACAGCTGTTCTTATTGAAATGTATAGGAAAATTTAAGTAGACCCAGATAATAAATCGAATATTCATCACACATTAACATAAATTGTAATATTTTATTGATTTGCAGAAGTCAGAAAACCTGTTGGCTTTCGTTGGGATTTGGCGACTCGACTGAACAATGACGGAGTTCACGTCGAAAAATAATGGTGAGTCATGAATGAAGTATTAAAATGTCATTAGTATGTTATTTTATATGATATTTTAACTCACGTCATGATAGTTTTAATAACACGTTACAGACTTAGTTTATGACAAGAGTACCCTATTTCCCAGTGAAAAAGTAAAATGAAAGTGAACAAAACTAGTATGAATGGAAACAAATGTTATATGTCTCATATGCTGCCATTGATTTTCCTATATTTTGTCACTGAGATGCATACATAAAGTTTATATTGACGAGTTCAGCAAAAAAGCGATATTGTATACGTGTTCCCATGACTAAATTTGTCGTAACGTTCTTAAACACTTCGCTGTACTCTAAGCATGAGTGCCTTAGATTGCAACGCATTTATAACGTTCTTTAAGTTAAGCCTCATCCCAAACAGGCATTTGGGCAGAGGAGAGTCGGCGCAGCAGTCGCAGTAGCACCTCCTCTTCCGGCAGCAGCGCCGTGACTGAGCTGCCCAGTGTCAGAGCCTTGGCGTCTCGCTTCAATGCCCTCGCCAGCCCCGAGAGCACCATCATCTCTGGCCCTGCCAGGCGACCGCTCTCCACCGTAAGAATAAATTCAGGATTCGGAATTAAATTTTGCTCATTTAGGTCTTTATTTAAAGCATCAACATCCCAATATTAATTTTCGTAGCTTCATTCAAATAGTGTCATTTCAAATATCAGTGCCAGTCTATTTTGAAACATTTTAACTCCGTGATACGAATAATTTTCATATTCACTTGATTGTTAGCAGTTTACCCTTTTTCAGAGTGGTTTGCCAAGAACTTCCTCTCCGGCGACGGTTACTTCAAAGGAGGCTCCCGATGTAGCCCAAACAACGTCAACAAAAACTGGCAAACCCCAAACTAACTCCACAAAAACAACCCCAACTGTGGTTGCAGTCACGGAAAAAAAACCGCCATTAAAGCCGGAACCTGCCAACGACAATGATGATGACGAGGTTTTCGTCCAAGCAACAGTCACGGATCGCCCGGAGCCAGTCGAGAATTTCATTAAAAAAACGGATTCGGCTTCGAGCAAAACCCGCGCTCCACCTTCGCGGACCCCGGACAAGAAATGGAGCAGCTTGTCAGACATCCATTCGGCTCACGCGGAGCAAACAGTTCCGTGGCAAAGAACAAGTTCTACTCCAGTGAACAAGAGTTCGAGGATCATATTTGGAGTTCCTCTTCGTAGTGTGGCAAATATTTCATGGGGGGTCACCCAAGCTCGTAAGCCTACCGTAGATGAAGATGAATCATCCTCAAGCGATGAATCCACCCCTTCATCTCCTGACGACAAAGGGGAAGCGGCGGTAACGAATTTTGGCACATTCCCGAGAAGCCGTCATACTGATAACAATTTAGTAAAGAAATCAGCAGCTGGTGGAGTGAAGGGTAAGATCAGCCAAAAACTGAGCAACAAACAAGACGTAAAGTATCATAGTCACAGCGATCTGACCATGGCTGGAGACGATGTCGGTACTACATGGCGGCGCAAAAGCGTTTCCGATGACCTATACGTAGCTCCTCATCAACCACTAACACGACGGCAGTCAATAAGTGACTTGCTGAAACTCTACCGCACCAAAAGTCAAACTGACCTCAGTCAAACTGACCTCAGTCAAACTGGGGATTTGAAGCAACCGACGAGTCCAAATGCCGATGCTTTTCATCGACCCTCAGCACAAGTTTCAACCCCTTTGACGATGTACGATGTGAAAATTACCCCAATGCAAAAACCCAATGTATCACCGTATAAGGCACCTGTAAAAGACATCGTAAGAATACCACCTGGGTCCATTTCTTTCAAGGCTAAAACTTCATCTTCAGTCTTCGCTACACCTTCAGGTCCATTTGTGCCGTCCACTCCGTCGCCATCTACATCCGTTCCCCAGACCCCAAAAGAACCTTCATCATTATCCTCATCTAACGTCGCGGTCAACACTACCTCACGTACCACCGTGGAAACTACATTGGACAAAACAGAAAGTCAGAGTTCCAGTTCAGATTCAGAAGATAATGAGGAACCTATTCGACCGAAATTCACCTACCAACCTCCACCCAAGCATTTCAACCGTCCAACAACCCAACATCCTCCGAGCATTGATCGTCATAAGCCCGCGATCACTCAGAAAACGGGGCAGAAATCAAAGGATGAGGTCGGGATTTCTTCCATTAACAGTGCCTACCTTCCAGTTTCGTACCGCAAGCTTGATGAACCTTCGCCAAAAAAACCAACCGCCATTGCAAATTTCAGACGAGTTTCTTCATCATCATCAGATCATGAACATGTTGTTGATCCTCCTAGCAGCGATGAGAACGAGAGCAAAGTAGCAGACAAATATGTCAGTCCTGTTCAGTCTCTTGTTCGCTCACTGAACCAGAATAAAGATAAGCCCTTGTATCCCAACAAGCCCGATATTCTCAAGCCTAAACCACAAGATCCCATCTGGCTGGAAAAGATTACTCCTCTGGATCAAGTTGTCACGCAATCGAAAGCGAAACCCGGAAATCTTGTTGTGACATTAGAGGCTAAACCAGGCACTGTGTCACTAAACGGCGGAAAGCAAATTCTACACAAGAAACTTTCTAAAGATTCTTCTGCATCTTCCGATGACGACGTTGATGGTGTTCCACACGATGATAAAGGAGGTTCATTCATAGTTTCAAAACCTGCCACATTGCCCATCCCCAAAAAGCGTACTCAGTTAACCAAACCCTCAGTTCCCCCTCCCAAGGTACCTGTAGATACAAAGGTGGAGACACCGAGAGTCGGGAAGTTATCTGCCCGAGACTCAGTGGATAGCTGGATAAAGGAAGTCAACGAAAAGATCAGCTCTGCTTCTGAATCTTCCGACAGCGAAAGCGAAAAGCCAAGTGACAGATCAGGCTACTATAATTTCAACACAGATGGATTAGGCGAGACGAAGAAAAGCGTAATTCCAGTAACACGTGCGATGGAAAAGCAAAATTCAGATAAGTCCGTTGTACTTATCACGAATAAAACTATCGAAAGTGATCCTCCAGTGTCTCATGGATCGAATGAAACAGATACTCAGACAGGTCAAAGCTCTCAAGTTTTTGATGCTCAAGTGAAAGGCGAGAGTCTTCATTCCGTTGTGTCCACTCGAAAAATCGCTCATGCGTTTGGAGGAAAACTTCAACGATCGAGAGAAGGTGAAAAAGATGGTGATCTAAAAAACGCAAAAAATAAATCGACACCAGTTCAAAATGACCTGCCACATACTAATGAAAAAGTGACCAGCATAGTGAAAGAAAATCCAATATTGGAGAATTCCACTGAGAGAACGTCAAAAATTCCCACGCTAAAGAAAGACACACCGGATGGTGTAAAGACACAAGACATCAAGGCTAATTCTCAGAACAGCAAAGATGGGCCATCCATAACTGCATCGAGAAACAAAGCCCCGGAAAGTCCTTCGTCTCGAAAGGACAAAGCAGGCGGAGGAACTGAATTCCAAGAAAAGCCATCGAAAGGATCATTCGAGTCCCAGACCAATAGCAGTGGCAGTAACAGTCCAGGCGAATCCTTCAAAGAGATCGATCCCTACGCCATTGGAAGGATGATTGTCCGAGGCGCCCGTAAGAACAACAGCGTCGTCAAGAAGCCGGAAAATTTGACCAACATTCGGAACGCTACGGTCCCAGCGAATTCCCCGTTTTCTCCTTTGAAATCGTATTCAGGAATGGAAACCACTTATAATTCCAAGGATCCTGCAATGAACAAATTTCGACGAGCGAGCTCTTCCAGTGATGATCAGGACCTTAAAGGGTTTCGGGCCGGTAGAATTGATTCCTCCAGTGACGAGCAGAGTCCGCGAACTGGCAAACGAAATAAAACATCCGCTCGTCGCTCCAGCGCATCGAGCGACGCCAAGACGTCCGATGACGAATTCAACAAGCGAAAATCTAACGGTGTTTTTGAGGCAAAACTCGCAAAAACTGTGTGAAAAATAAAGCAAACCGAAGCATTTTTGTGAGGTGTCGGCATTGATATCGAGGATTGAGATAAATATATATTTTTAATGATTTACGTCTTCACGCCTATTACATAGAAAAAAGTTTTACGGCGCAGGATAACCGCAGTGGAAGATTTAATTTCGACTGCATTCAAACGATTATTTACTATAGAGAAATAAACTTGATTTGTTTACTAATATAATTGATTTTCTGTCACTTATTATGAAACTATTGAATGTGGTGTTTTTAGTGTAAACATGAATTTAGAGTTCGTAGAATAGCTGAAATGAAATTAAATATTAGCCTGTAAATAATGGAGTATTCGCAACTGGTATTTTTGTCAGTGAAACTGTTTTCCCATTTGTGTCTCATTGGTATAAATTGTTCGCAAATGCTCTGTTCAAAATATTTTTCACCCTTCCTAATGTATTGACGCCATCATTTTTCAAGTATAGTTTGTGTATTCAATAATTGTAGATCCACGACAGATACATGGTTTGCGAATTTAATGATTATTGCTTCACTGCAAATACTTATTTTGTACATTTGATGATTGTTGATCCCCTGATGATACTTATTTTGTAAATTTAATGATTGTTGATACTCTAAAGAAACATATTTTGTATATGAAATGATTGTTGGTCCGTTGAAGATGGACAGTTTTTGCATGCAGAGTTGGTTGGTTGACTCTTCTTACAAGTTCAAACAATGTAATATATTTCCTTGTTTGAAAGACAGTGTGATACTTGGCTCTATTCTATGCTCAAAATTAACTCTTTTTACTAGTCTATTGTGTGCATACAAGAAGGCAGTGATGCTTGATTTTACATTATTAATATAATAACAAAACTTTATCACAAGAATTGCCATAGATGGTCACTAAATGACAATAATGTAATACAATTGTATCCATTTGAAAACAACATAGATAATGAGATTTTCACCTTCACTTTTCTTAATTTAGAGCTTAATTGAGGATAAATTTCACGTTTCAACATAAAGAAATTTTTTGAATTTATGATTCATTTGAAATCATATTAACTGATATTTGCTTTACTCGTTTGAACTACCGGTAGCTACCTGCATCATAGAAGCAAGAACTGGTTGATATAAAAGAATAGAAAAGAATACATATATATACAAGAACTGGTTGATATAAAGAATACCTTCGGCTTAATAAATTCTATAAACGACTGTTGTTTTCAATTTAACATTCAGCTTTGTGTGTGTGCTTGTACTATAAAAAGTAATATATTTAAACTGAGTTTATTGATACTGAGAAATTTTTTATTACCCCATAGTTTGTTCTTTCAACTTATTGCAAAGACAAGATAAAAAATGAGTAATGTTAGTTGGGACACCTGGTGCTGTGTTGTAACAAACTTTTCACAATTTTAGTTGTGTCTCAGAAATCTCTAAAGTGTTTTAATCATACTTCTACGATATCTCAATCACATATGCTTTTACTAGGTTTGACTCGATCGACAATTCTACGGACTCGCCAGCGGACTCGCCTGCGGACTCGCGCAACTGGGCCACTCATAATTCCTTAAATACTTAACGCATCTGTATGAATTTTGGAATATGATTATTAATTATCGATACGCTGCCGCAGGAATTATTACAGATTTTTACATGGATTATTTTTTAACGAAAACCAATAAACGTATTTTTTAAGCAACTGGGCCACTCATAATTCCTTCAATACTCGACGGATCTGCATGAATTTTGAAATGTGATTATTAATTATTATCAATACGCTGCCGCAGGAATTATTACAGATTTTTGCATGAATTATTTCCTAGCCCAACCTAACTTAACCTAACCTAACCTAACCTAATAATAAGTCATGTAAAAATCTGTAATAATTCCTGTGGCACCGTATCGATAATTAATACTCACATTTCAAAATTCATACAGATCCGTTGAGTATTGAAGGAATTATGCGTGTCCCAGTTGCTTAAAAAATACGTTTATTGGTTTTAATTAAAAAATATTCCATGTAAAAATCTGTCATAATTCCTGCGGCAGCGTATCGATAATTAAAACTCACATTCCATAATTCATACAGATCCGTTGAGTATTTAAGGAATTATGAGTGGCCCAGTTGCGCGAGTCCGCAGGCGAGTTCGCTGGCGAGTCCGTAGAATTGTCGATTGAGTCCAGGTTTGACGGTTTACACTTGATGATCGGTTGAAATGTTCCCATAAGAAATATCAGTCTCATAAAAATTTGGATTCATGCAAGCCGACGGTTATATTTGCATGAGTTTTGTATTCGTGCAAGGCCACGGTTCAACGCCGCGAAATAGAACGCAAAATTGTCGAAGTCGGTTTTATTGCAACTTTTTCGGTAAATAATTTTATATAGAAAACACCAATTTATAAAAAAAACTCTTTTCTCCGTTATTACTAGTTTCGATCAATTTTAACGTTATTAATTAATTTTTTTAACATCGATGTAATACTGTATCTACTTTTTGAAGGAAAATTGTACGAAATGGCAACTACCATTGGGCATCACTGCATACACAGTTACACACATGCTTGAAGTTAGTGAGTTGTACAGTGATTCGTAAGTGTGAAAGTGAGACTTCCCGATTTTTTTTAGAAAATGCATTTCTTTGGAAAAATTTCCCATTCTGCATTCGTTTCGTTATTGCTATCGTCGTATTCATACAAAGTTACGGATTCACGTGGAATTCAGCCTTAATTATTATTCCTCATTTTAGCTACATGAGGCTATGAGAAACGTTGGCATTGACCCAGAGAAAATACAGTCCTCGGCTTCTCGCTTATGGTTATATACGGAGATTCTGACAGAGAACAGGCTGGTGGGCGCATTTGTCGCCACAAGTCTTAACCCCAAATATAAAAAAAATATACGGAGCTCATTATCCACATGTTCTGGTAAGTTAATTGTTATAAATTGTTGAAGGAAACTACTCGCATTTCAACTCAAACGTCTTTTTAAATTGAAGAAATTTAGTCTAGTTGTAACTGTAAGTTGTTTCTGTTTATGTAGGCTATGAACTGATTGATTTAAAGACCTTGGATACCTACCTTCTGCTTCGGCGCTTCCAATATTTTTTTTACACTTCACACTTCATAGCCAGTCAGCCACTTTGATCCACAAAGTAGCTAATGAATTTTTAATACATTTGGAATCTTGTGGCCTGATCATGCACTTTTGTTAACAATTAGATAGGACGTGATTCATCTGGTGGTCAGGCATGGAATATATCTACTTGGTGAGCCGCGACTTGATTTTCGGAGCCGTGAGTTAGCCCATTTGCGAACCGTGAAAACATACTTCTTGCACGTGAGTCCCTAATTGCAGCCGGTAAATTACGTTTGCCAAAAATGTCAAATTTTTTAATAATCTAAATTAACAGGAACGCGATATAGTTCATGTTGCTCTGCGTTACCTGCAGGCTGCAGCGTACTAAGAATACCATGTCTTTGGAAAAGTCATTTGCCTATATGACATAATTAACTAAATTAATGCAACGAAAGTTACGTTAACGTAACGAAAGTTACGAAAATTGAGATTTAAGTCAAGTTATGGCCAGCAAAGCACCATATTTAGGCATATAAGCGTAAAAATATGAATAATAATAGCGAGAAAACCCAGGGAGTGCATATAATCCCTTAGGTGCTGTGAATTTTGTGTTGGAAAGGGCTCTGGATTGCACATAACTTCATCAGATGCATAACTGTAATGATCCATTACAGCTTCAGGAGTTTCTTTTCTTCTGGGAAGCTCCATAGCTACTCAGACATTGTTCTAGTCTTCTGCTTTCTCTTTTAATAGAAATAATGTATTTCATCAAGTGACTATCTAAATATAAGATTTAACATTAGTTGCTACTAATTCTCCTGTGGTATAATGATAAAGTACTAATTCCATAAATTCAATTCTAAGTGGCAAGTAAACTTGTCACAAATATAAGTGTTCCATTATAGTGGTCTTATGATATTAGAATAGAAGAAAGCATGCATATATCATTAGAACATTCTTTAGGAACACTATTCATTACGGTAGTTAGTCGTAGCTAGCAGACATAAGTGGTAACTAATGTTGTTTCCTGATGTAATAGTGCCATTGCTCACAGCAGCAAATTCCCAAGCCAACCGAGCAGCCATGAAGTACGGTACACCCCTGTGACTCGTTCAGAATATGTTCATAACTAGTCTCATTAGGCGAGACTCCATTTCAAACTACCACATTTATAGTTTTGGAAAAATTTCATTTTCTCATATGGCAAGTATACTTGCCAAGCGGCATTAATGGGTTAAATTTTTTTTGTCAGAAGTGCCTGTTAATTTTGAGCAACTAAGCAAATTTTTATGTATGAATATCTGTATCCAAAAATTCTCATAAAATAAAATATTTTTCACTCATACCGTCAACTGGGGCTACTCGGGACTGGCGGGGTAACTCGGGAAAGTCCTCCGACACGGCTTAAAACTGTTACAGTAGCAAAACTAATTAGAATATTGCAAAACTAAATATAGTGGCGTAAACGTCAACATTTTTCCTATCTATGTAGTATAAAGGAAGTCAAAAAAATACTACATTTACTAGCTGTGAAAAATTCCTGGAAAAAAAGGTGAAAAACGCTATTTTGAAAAGTTACTTCAGCTAAGGTCTGTAGCAAAAAAATATTCGCCGTATTAAAAAATTTTACTTACAAAAGATGCACCCAGGTGTCAGCTTGAAAACGTAATTGACGGAATTGTCCTATCTCATTCCAAAGAAAAATGGCAGTCATTTCCGCACGGCAGGGCTACTTGGGCTGCCCCCCCCGGGGCTATTTGGGACACCCCCAAAAATGTATTAATTGTAGAACCTCAGTTAGCAAAGGCTCCAGTTAAGAAAAAAATTAATTAAAAACAAAAATATTTATTTCATTTACCTCGCTCAGCAAAAAAATTTCACTTATCGAAAAATTAGTGCATCATCAGTCATCACAAAATTGTGCATAGAATGTCATATGTAGAATTGTGCACCAGGCATCATAGAATGAAAAGTAATTGACCTAAACTATGATTTATTTCTCCAAAAAATATGATGGTGCTGCCGCAGGCAGTGTTATCTAGACTGTCAGCGTGGGAGGTTGTCTGCCGTGCGCGCGGGGGCTGTGAACAGCAAGCCACTCCTCTAATTTAAGTTCGGCGTTCCCAAAACTCAAATTACCAAGGTAATTTAAAATTTATATGGAATTGCACCATGCAGAGATTTATTGGAATCAGTTCATTTTTAACTTCCTCATTTACCTAAGATTTAAACCAATTTCTTATGTATGATGAAGCTGGTATCCAGGATACTTTACTGGTCTACTTATGGGACTTAAAAATGAACTTGAGGGAAAGTCTAAAAACTCTCTGCTTTGCCACTATGACACTTCATAGCCAGTCAGCCACTTTGATCCACAAAGTATGCCATTTGGTATGTAGGTTAGTAGGTATGTTCCAAGTTTCCTATTGACTATTGTGGCCAGATGGTTCCAAACTTCTGACCTGCCAGAGCTGAGTTGTCAAAAGTTCAACAACTTCTGGAAAAGTTGTTCATGCGTAGTGTAATTCTGCCAAATGGATGGTTAGGCTACATGGTTTCTAAAAAGTCCTTTAAAATAGTTTTAGCATTGTGGCTCAAACGTAATGAATTATTAATACATTTGGAATCTTGTGGCCTGATCATGCACTTCTGTTAACAATTAGATAGGATGTGATTCATCTGGTGGAGTGGTGGTTATCTTGCAGTTCCAGAAAAGGCGGGAAAGCTTTAGTCGTGGCCCAAATAAAGGTACCTAGATGTTTTTCACATTTGGTCTCTGACAGGGCTGGAAAAGCCCTACTTTTTTCTGGAATATTGCAGCTCTAATAACATATAATTTTGGTAGGTGTGAAATCTTGTGGCTCTAAAGTCAAGTAGGGTAAACGCGGTATATTCCGACATCGTGGGTAATTCCAACACCTGTCTAGTTTTTCCTTTATATTAAGCTTTGTCTTAGTTCCACGCATTCGTTGATGGTTGAAATAGTGACGTCATACCTTTGCGCACCAAACTATTGCCAAAACACTAGGTTTGGGCCATCTGGCAGGAAAATGTTGAAATCCAAAGAGAGACAGTGCATGCCACCCAGTGAGATCATCAAAAATTGTGTCAAAGTTGATAGTTAACCTTGCTCTACCAAATAGTGATAAACTGTTTGTGTAGAAAGAATATTATGGTTTGAGACTTTCAAATACGTCTGTGAATAGAATATATTAGGAATCCTTTAAGTATACTTGTATTTGCTGATATCAAGTGGTAAATAAATTAATAGATGATTAAGTTAAGAAACAGATTTAGACACATAAAAACTAATTCCGACACAACTTGAATTGGACACAGACAGCTCGTTCCAAGCTGTGTGAAAAAATTATAATTTTCTTAATTAAAAGCTTAATAGCAATTAATTAAAAGCCTAATTAAGTAGTGTTCAATATTCAATAGTGTTCTAATTCAAAGCCGTGTCGTATTCCAATACAGCTCACACAGTGATCAGAATTCGAACACAAGGATGTCAGAATTACGTATTAGTAGAGCTGTCTCTTATACACATCTAGATGTGTATAAGAGACAGTATCTAGACTGTCAGCGTGGGAGGTTGTCTGCCGGAGGCTGCGAGCCGCTCCTCTAATTTAAGGTCGGCGTTCACAAAACTCAAATTACTAAGGTAATTTAAAATTGATATGCAATTGCACCATGCCTGTGCATGTGTACGTGTTATCCCAAATCTCTAATTGTACCCTAGAAACAGCAACAAGAACATTTGTCTTTACTTTAGAGGCAACTGAAGTTGCGAAAATGTACTTTTATTAATGTTTTTGTTGAAGAATAAATGCAGTCTGACATGGCCGCAACTATGCAATCTCCAACGAAACATTTGAGTTGACTCATTTTGCAGGATATTTTGGCAGGAGTGTGGTACTAACTACTAAGTGCTGCAAACAGTGGAAGTTGAACATTTTGTGGAATGACATTTATGTGAATTGCAATTTCTTCACTCAAACAAAAATACATTACTTAGAAGCTGGAAGATTTCATACCTACTGAAATCCTAGGATATTGGAGCTGCAATATTTAAGAAGAAAGTATGACTTTTTCCAACTAGGTTCTTCCTTGGATACTAGTTTGCAAAATATCTACTCTCCAGTCAGTTACCAGAATTTTGAAGCCATGAATTAAGGAATTTTTTAACTTAGCCTATTTCCCAAGCCATGTATTTAAAGCCATTTATGGATCTTGTAAAGAATATGCACCCCAGTAAGGTAAAACCTTATTAATAATAAGCACCCTAGTACATCCTTCTTAATAAATGCACCCCAGTATAAACCTTTTGAAGATGACTTTGTTAATCCTCCCTTTCAAGAATGGCATGTAACATATTTCAAGAAATTGTTTAGATCTTGTTGAGAATAAGCGCCCCAGAAATTACTAGGGTGTGCATTCTTAACAAGATCCTAATTCTTGAACCATGAACTCATGGAAGTGCTGACATATGCACCTATCATGAATAAGCTCTAATTATGCCCTAGAAATGGCAGCAGAACATTATTCTGATCTCACCTTATGTGACTACTTCTGAGTTATGGGGTTATGCCAAGGAAGCTGTTTATGTCCCACCTCTACCTGTAACTCTGGTTGATGCATAGTAACAAAGTAGAAAGCTTTTTTAGACTTTCTCAAGTTCAATTTTGAGTCCTATAAGTATACCAGCAATGTATCATGGATGTCAGCACTATCATACATAATATGTTGGTTTTAATCTTGTGTAAATGAGGAAATTAAATATGAACTGGTTCTAGAAAACTGCTGCTGGGGTTTATCACCATTGCTTGATGTAAAGAACCAAATCAATGCTACAATGCACTCAATAAAAGAAGATGTGTGTGTGTGGGAGGAGTTTGGGTACAGTTTAGATGTTTGTCATGCAGCACAAGGGGGACATTTTGATTATTTATAAATATGTGGAAAAAAATTGAATCTTTCTCTTTCCATTGGTGTGTAAATTATTCATTTTGAATTTATACTGAAAAAGAAATAAAATTTATTAAATTGGGTCCATAATTTAGAATAACCCTGTATATATATTTGTAGTCACTAGATTGCTAAATGCTGTATAACAGGTGTGAAAAATATTGAATTTTCATGTCATAACTGAAGCTTTCTGTAACAGATTAATGCTGAATTCCCTGGAGAATATTGAGACTTTTATTTCAATTTGAAAAATTTATTTAGGTACCGTAAAATAGGGTAACTTTGACCACTTTTTTTCAAAATGATGCCATTTTTTTTACTAGATAAGTTAAACTTAAATTGAAACATGCAAAATACAGGTCTATACTCTAGCTTTACTCACCATAAATTGCTGGCTCCTGTCTCTCATGGTTTTGATGTAATTTCAAAAAAAGTGATGGTCTTTGTTACCCCAGCTCTTTGGGTTTATTTGACCGGGTGGTAAAATCAATTTTATTTTTTGGTAAAATAACTCCAGGTTGTNGAGCAAGTATGTAGTAGAATTTTTCCAGATTACGATTCCTGTCTCTTATACACATCTAGATGTGTATAAGAGACAGACTGCGACAGGCTTTAAATAATAGCTCTTTTTCGTGGGTCACATTATTAATTTTTTAACCTATTAGATATGCAAACTTTTTAAATCTTTCTATTGTGTTACATAGCTAGCCTCAGTATTAGGCCTTTGATGGCCATTGACAAAATTTTTCTATGTCAAATCGTTTTTGAGTTTTGGGGGTTTTGTTAAAAAAACAAAAAGTGGTCAAAGTTACCCCGCTGGTCAAAGTAACCCCATTTTACGGTATCTTCTGTTCTAATGAATTTTAATGAAAAAGTCTACCTTTTTTAGCATAAATAAAAATACAGACTGGCAAGTATACTTGCCACCCAGCGGCCAGCAATAAAAAAATGATATGGTGAAAAGAAGGGTACAGCTGGCATAAGGAGAAATCTAAAGTACTTGAACAAATTAGCTAATGAAGCTTCTGTCTTTTTCATCCACTTTAAGTTTGAGTTGAAAACCTTTTGTGTGAAAGGTTTTCCTACACTCTGAGCATACATTAATGTGGCATACACTGCAAAAATAAATGGTACAGTGCTCCATATTCACTGACTCTATTGTATGGACTCTTACTATTATATGTCCTATGATGCTGACTGCTGTAACAAATTGTATTCACAACAGAGTGTTCCTCAAAAATTTCCAGTGCTTTGGTTTCAAATAACTGTTCCTCAGGTGCATTTCTTAAATCTGTTACTAGATTTTCAACATTGTTCTATCCAGATGCTACCTGCAGTCTCCTTTTTTTTCGTTTTTATGATTCAAGGCAAGTTGATGTTAAGGTTGAATTTGCTACAATTTTAATTTGAGCATTATCTACAGAATCATTCAGAACAATAGTGAGCTAATTTGTGCTGGAAAGGGCTCTGGATTGCACATAACTTCATCAGATGCATAACTGTAATGATCCATAACAGCTTCAGGAGTTTCTTTTCTTCTGGGAGGCTCCACAGCTACTCAGACATTGTTCTAGTTTTCTGCTTTCTCTTTTAAAAGAAATAAATCATGTAGGTACCTATTACATCAAGTGACTATCTAAAAATAAAATTTAACTTTTAACATTAGTTGCTACTAATTATCTTGTGGTATACCGTCAACCGGGGCTACTCGGGACAGATTTGATCATTTTTTGTTAATAACTGTTAAAAACTTCTTACGATGAAACATTTCATAAACAAATTTAGGCTCATTTTATAGCTTTTTGCGAGGGCTATCGAATGGCATTGTCAAAAAAATTCCATATGCTATTCGTAAGGTGCCAGACGCAAAATAAAGATTGTCCTGAGTAGCCCCGTTGGTTGGGGCTACTGGGGACAATGGGAATAAAACTTCATTTCAAAACATTTGAAGCATGCAGAGCGTACTCATCCATTACTAACAGTACTCTGAAATCCTCCTCTTTCATTGTAAATGATGTAGAGGTAGAATAAATGACATTTTCTGTGATTTTTACTTGTTCTTCCTTTATTGATATGATATTGCCATATACATTAATTACCGTATTATTGATGTGCAATTATCATATTATTGATGCGATATAACCATATCCATGAACATGCCATTGAGCATTTACAACAACCTTGTCCACTGCAAGCTTCATATCAGCAGCCTTATAGCATTAAGCAAGTAAATGTAGTATTTTTCGACTTCCTTTATACTACATAGATAGGAAAAATGTTGACGTTTACGCCACTATTTTTAGTTTTGCAATATTCTAATTAGTTTTGCTACTACAAAAGTTTTACGCCATGTCGGAGGCTTATCCCGAGTAGCCCCGCTTGTCCTGAGTAGCCCCGGTTGACGGTAATGAAAAAGTACCAATTCCATAAATTTATATCCAAGTGTCAAGTAAACTTGCCACAAATTATGTGTTCTATTATAGTGGTCTTATGATATTAGAATAAAAGAGTCCATGCATATATCATTAGAACATTCCTTAGGAACACTATTCATTATGGTAGTTAGTCACAGCTAGCAGACATAAGTTGTAACCAATGTTGTTTCCTGACATAATAGTGCCATTGCTCACAGCAGCAAATTCCCAGGCCAACTGAGCAGCCATGAAGTACGGTACACCCCTGTGACTCGTTCAGAATATGTTCATAACTATCAGTCTCATTAAGTGAGACTCCATTTCAAACCACAACATTTATAGTTTTGGAAAAATTTCATTTTCTCATATGGCAAGTATACTTGCCAAGCGGCATTAATGGGCTAAATTTTTGTCAGAAATGCCTGGTAATTTTGAGCATCTTTCTATGTATGAATACCTGTTTGTAAAACATCTGTTTGTGGAACACCTGTTTGCCACTCATAAAATAGAATATTTTTCACTCATAGGGCAGAAACAAACTGTGAACAACTTTTGTAGTTCCTATTTTATGAATCTGGGTAGGAGAAAGATCAGATTTTGTACTCTATAAATGTTTTGCCCAGGATGCTTATGCTAATTCACATATGTTTTTTATTCCAGATTGGTCCATTGGTCTGTCAGTTGTCCGGCAGCTAACACCTCCAGTGTCCTCCAACTCTGATAAGTGAATTATCAATCCCATTTGTTGTACCAAATTCCATTATGGGTTATTTCCAAAAAGAAAGTTCAGCGGACAAACACGAGAGCAACCCTGTAAAAGTTGGTGGCACAGAACTGCAGATTGGAGAAACCACAAACACTATTGTAAAAGTTGAATCTCAGACAGAATCTTTAATGAACAGTGAGCAATCAAACTGTGCTGCCCTTGTCAAGATTGAAGTCATTAACATTGAATCTGACGCCAAATATAAAGCCTGCATCATGGACGACAATGATTCATGTTCCTCTGGCTTCAGTAGTGAAGTGGCGTCCCCTAGAAGTGGATGTGGGAAGGAAATCACCAAGAAGCCTTTAAACAATAATTCAAAGGAAACTAGATCCTTGAGTTCAACCAGTGCATCATCAGTAGATGAAGGGCTTGAGCTTGATGCAGCTTGTGTATCAATTGACACTCTTTCCCTTAATGCAATTCAACCTCAAGAAAGTGAAGACATTCAATCAGTTGAGGATTCAGCCCCTGTTTTGCCAGAATGTACTGACAAAATTGGAACTGGTGCCAAGAATAAAATTAAAATGGAAGAGCATCCACAGTTGCCTGAAGGAGATATCTCTGTTGCTGACTTCAGCTACCTCAAGAAAGTTGGAAAAGGAGGTGAATGTTTTTAAAATCTTATGGGTATCCATACTGAAGATTTGATATTAATGTCTCATTCGATGCGATTTAAATTTTTATACCTAAATTAAATAAATGTTCTGATTAAATGGTAAGCGGCTTGTGTCCTTTTAAGATTTAAAATATCACATTTGCTTGGGTGTTTGATAACAATTTCCTGCTTGTAATTAATGGTAGTTTTGTTTCAGCTTTTGGAGATGTATTTCTAGTACGGAAAAAAACTGGCAAAGACGAGGGTGCCATCTATGCACTGAAGATGATCTACAAGTGCAAGGTGTTGGATGATGAGTATCTTACCATCCACTTCAGGAGTGAAAAGGAGGCTTTACAAAGAGTTCGTGCTGGACCCTTTCTCTCAACCCTCTTCTATGCCTTTCAGTCTGTGGAGCATCTATTCCTTGTTATGGGTGAGCCTGTCTACATTGTTCACTGTTCTATCCAAAAATAATTCTAATTCAATTCTACTCCATTCTGGCAAATTGTTTATATTTTGTATTAACTTCCAGCTGGAACTTGGATTACTGTGGAAAGTAAGAATTTTAATTGGCATGTTATAATCCAACTTTTGAGCAGAATATGTGTTTGCATATTTCTTGTGTGTGGCTCCATCAGTACCTGTATTTTAAATTTAAAATCTTAGGAATTCAATAAAATAGGTATTTGCATTTATATGTGGTGCTAAATAAACCCTTGAATAATTTCAATTTTATTGTCGCTGGACTAAAAATAATGCCATTTTTGGTTATCATAATTCTGAAATTAAACATTGAGATTAGTGAAAACCTTGTTCAAATCCTGCGTGATTTCTGATTTAACATTTTTGGAAACTTGAGCTATGTTCAAACTTAAAAATTGTTTTAATCTAACTTTCATATTTTTTCTCTGTTCTCATTTGACTACTAAAATGTGATAATTATTTCTGTGTATGGTGGTGAAAATCTTTTCTCAATTGTAAAAATTATCCCTGAACTTATTTGTTATTCTACTGTGAAAGACTTCTTATCATGATTGCTTATTTGCACAGTTGTGGAGTAAAGTTTGCGCTGCTAATGGCCAAGTTCTTCTTATAAATAGCGTCTTTCATTGTTTATTTTCCAGACTACAATGGAGGGGGACAGTTGCTGCAACAGTTTATTGGCAAAAATGTTCTTCTCGAGAACCACATGAGAATTTACCTGGCTGAGCTTGTTCTGGCTGTTGACTACCTACACATTGTGAGTTGAACTTGGAGAAGATTCATCTACCATCTTATATTATACTCATCCTTGTTTATGAATTCGAATATGTAGACTCATTACTCTCAATCTTGTATTTTAATTTTCTTTGCCTCACAAACCTTGTTAGATATAAAATTACAACATTTTGCAAGATATGCAATGGATACTGCACTACTATCATGATCAGCCTCAAACATTCCAAAGCATTAACCACTCACTAATTTGCATTCAGTTGAAGTTATATATAAATTATAACTCAAAAATGTAAATATTCCTTTTGCAGAATATGCTCTGTTTTTTAAGTCCTGTCAACTTTGTCTTAACTTGAGCATTGAGCTGGTAAAAATTTATTTTGCTGAATACCCTTTCTTCTTGCTACAATTCCAATCATTAAAATGTATTTTGTAATGAACATTTAGCTGGTAACAATTCTGAACAATTGAATTGTTGCCTGAAATTGAATTGAACAATTCTGAAATTGAAATGAACAATAAGCTGGTAACAATTCTGGATATTAATTCACATTCTGTACGGACAGCGTGAGATCATCCACCGCGACATCAAGCCAGAGAATGTGCTGCTTGACAAGCAGGGCCACGTTGTCCTCATAGACTTTGGCCTTAGCAAGCTGGTGACCGGGGCACCCAATGAGTCCCATGTGGGCACCGAGCCTTACATAGCTCCTGAGATCCTGCAGCACCACCCTCATGACAGGGTAAGATCCTGCAGCACCACCCACATGACAGGGTAAGATCCTGCAGCTCCACCCACATGACAGGGTAAGATCCTGCAGCACCACCCACATGACAGGGTGAGATCCTGCAGCACCACCCACATGACAGGGTAAGATCCTACAGCACCACCCGCATGACAGGGTAAGATCCTGCAGCTCCACCCACATGACAGGGTAAGATCCTGCAGCACCACCCACATGACAGGGTAAGATCCTTCATCGCCACCCTCTTAACAGAGTGAGATCCCACGTAGCTCCTGAGATCCTGCAGCACTACCCGCCCAATAGGGCGAGATCCTGCATGTCGCCGAAATAACTCTGTCTTCAATTCAATGCTACAGGGCTGTACGGTACTAAATTACCTAGTGCTACGTTGTCTTGCACTTCAATATTGTGCCACCCTACTTTATTTTGCTATAGAATTTTGCTTTCTTAGTCTTCAATAATTTTTACCTTACTACCAACATGTTCTTGAGTACCATTGGTAAAGCTTTAGTACCTACCATTTAGTGATACTCTCTATTCAAGGCTTCCAATTTTCAGATGGCTGACTTCTGGAGCCTTGGTGTGCTGGGCTATGAGATGGTGGCTGGGTCTCCTCCTTGGAGCCTTGACATGTCGGACGAAAAGCTCAGGAAGTATGGCTTTTAGTTCAATAATTGAATACATGTAAATGTGCTTTCTTCATATTTACGCATCAGTATGAATATACATTAAGCAATGACGGGAGCATAAATAGAGCTGTTAAGTTCAATAGTTCAGTTCAATTTTCAGTGATACAGTAGAGGTAAACTTTCACAATAAAATATTGGTATATAATAGTAACGTGCTGTGCAGTCATTTCATAATAGTAGCTAATGTCGCTAAGTTTAAAATTTAATTTATATTACAGTACACATATAGCAACCAGCCAAAACTCCTTGTATCATAGCTCATGGTTCATGCCTAAGAATGCCTTTATGTATATCAGTCATTGCTACTAGCTAGCAGATCTGCTACAATATTTTTATATGCTACGTTGTGTTTAATTGCTAGTTCACTTATAAACTATGTACATGATAGATGTTTCGTTGTTTTCTGAAGACTTGAAATTTTAAAGAGTTTAGAATTTGTTCACATTTTTAAACGAAAAATTTGTCTTGTAAACTCTGTTAATTTTAATCTCTGTGTTCATTTTGGCCTTACTGTTGATTAGATGAAATATATTGACATTTTGAGCTGATGATGGTGCTGATCTCCGAAACGTTTCCAATTAAATTCTGGTGAATTTCTCTGACATTTTATTTATTTTAAATTCTGGGTTCAGGATGATATGTTAAACTTTAAATTATTTGCCTAGATGAGAAATCTAAAGCTCAGACCTGCATTTTATCCACCGTTGTATGTGAATCAGACGCAAGGATAATGATGAGCGCTGCTGGGGTGATGAGCTGAAGTGTACAACAAGTGGGCTGTTCTTCAAATTTTTTTACCTTAGTTTTTTGACCTCTCTATTCTGCTTTATTATGTATCGATAATTATATAGCATACCCTTTAAGTATTATGTTAAATACCCATGAAGATTTAGTGCATCATCAGTATGCATTGAGTGTTTTTCTCGTGCAGAGCCGTGCTGGAGCGAGAGCCGCAGTACAACTCGCGTCTGTTCGGCAAGCCCTGCAAGTCTCTGCTGCAGGGCTTGCTACAGAAGAGCCCCAAGCAGCGACTGGGAGCCGTCCATAAGAACAACACGGGCGGCATTCAGGACATCAAGACCCACAAGTTCTTCAAGGTGCTACAGCAGCTCTTGCCTTCACTGCTTTGCTTGTCTTCACTGCCTTTTATAATCTTACTACTTTTATTTGAAAATATCCACTTCTTTCATTGTTAAAGTTCCTGTGATTTTGTTGGTTTACGAGATTGTCGCTTTTTTTCTTCTATTTCTCTTGCAATAAATTTGATGTCGAGATTAAAGCTTATCAATAAATTTGATAAACTGAGATTACAGTATCTCCACCGTTCATATATTAAGCGGCATATTTGCAAGTTTACCTGCACTCGGTACTATTAGATAGTTGTAAAAATTTTTTTGAATTTGACAAGTTTTAACTCTTTAATTCCCCTGCTGGGATGATATGACTAAGCCTGTTGCTCCCTCATGTTGTGGTGCCCGCAGGCTTATGCACCTCTGGCAGTGGCTGGATTGTTCATTTTATAAGCCCTCTGGCAATGCCTGAAACATTCATTAATAACCATCAATTGATTTATCTATGAGTAAAATGTCTGGTGCTCTGACAGTGTGTGAAGTGGAACGCGGTGGCAGAGCGCAAGTTGAAGCCCCCCAGCCTGCCCCCTGTTGAGGACTTCTCTCAGTACCGCGACAAGGCCTTCAAGGAACCCAAGGATAAGGGTTTCCGCCGCTACTTCCCTGTATGTCCTGACATTTATTGATCATTTTACTGAGGCAATGTATACACGAGACGAAACGTCTTGGGTATAGGGACCTCCTTTAACTGTTTTTTGAGAGCTACTTGTGTCGTTTCAACATGAACTTTAATCATTACTTATTTCATTCCTTCCTCTCTTAATGAAAACAAACCTTTTTTTCTCCAGTGTAAACTCGCCATTTTATTTCACCCACAACTGCCCAAAATACGGTTGATTTGTTGTGATTAATGATGTTCTATATTAAGTGAAGTAAATGCTGAATAATGTTGTGTACCCGTGTAGTATAGTATACGTATACTAGTGACAATTTATCACACAGGACTACCAGTACTCGTGGCTGACCGACACTTCATCTTGACGATAGAGCTCCATAGTCTACAATTGCCGCACCTCCATCTGCCTGTGGTGCAAGCCATCATCCATCGCTGGCCGCCGTCACCACGCTGCTCTCAACGCCTGCTTATTGTGCCTCATGTTGTCGCCATTGAGTCTTTCTTTTGCTGCTTCTGTGTCATTCTGTTACGATAGCTGCGTGCCTCTGTTACAACCTAAACGTCCTTTATTTACTACCTCATTATGCTTCTGTTGTTGCAATACAAACAATGCATCCCAGTTCTTGGCTTCAGGCTTAGTTTATTTAACGTACCTGTCTATTATAGCCATTGTCACGTAAGGTCTTCTTCATAGCAATCGATGTCTGTCCACATGCCTGTCAATAAGTAAACAAAGTGTATTCGATTTGGTCTCTTAGTAGTCTCTTCCTTCCACTTATTATTTACTCTCTACTCCTGCACTGTTATTAATAATTTAAATTCAATTGGGCTTCATTTATAAAACATGGTGCGATTTGAAGCAACCTGGTCTGCAGTCACTCGATCCCAATTTTTGCTAAGCACTATCCTTTCTACTTTCCACTCTAATTGAACTTTCTACGTTGTTTTTGCGATTCCCTGCCTTATCCTCTTGATTGAAAAATTTCTAAAAAAGATCCCATCCTTCATAACATCCACCTGAGACTGTGTGCCTGCTGGTTTTGAAACGATCCTCATAATTTAACTATGACTAATGGACGAAATATTTTTAACTTGACGTAATAATTGGCTTCTTATTCCGCACCGTTGCAAGGAATTTTAAATGTTTCTCATTTGAATCCAACATCACAGCAAATATTTTTCCACTCTCACAGAAAATTACTTGTCTGGTCATTTTCAGGTAGACCTCTTCGAAATGTACACTTTTTTATAGTCAATTATTTTACTGCAGACTTGAAAGAGCCTGTATGTGTAAACTTCACTAGATTACCTGCTTCATGGCCGCTAGCAGCTCCTGCTGTACATAATAATATCGATGTTGTGCTAGTAGCTATCGGCGTTATTACTATTATCTTGTCGCTGGTAGCTCTTCTGTACATTATAGTTTACGTGTTGTGCTAATAGCTCCTGATGTACATAATAGTATCCATGTTGTGCTAGTAGCTACAAGCTTTATTGCTGGTAACTTGCCACTAGTAGCTCCTGGCAAGTTTTTGCTTGTAGCTTCTCTGTGTATTATCGTATCGGTGTTGTGCTTGTGCAAACTGGGACGCTTGCTAGCCCCAGGGTTAAGTAATGGTTGTTACTAGAGTGCCGCGTTCTCAAATTTATCATATACAGTTCGTCCATTGAGTGGTTGTCAGGTTGGATCACCAATGGTTGAACACCATCATTGATGACAGCCTTGTGCCGTTTCGGGATTTCAGCGATATTAAAATAGTTATATGTCAATTTAATAAGACTGTATCAATAACTCATGTAGTTTATAAGAGTAGTAATTTAAGCATTAATAATGGCAAAGACCGCTCGATGTTAAAATGGAATATAATTCTGCTCTCTAGTGCGGTTGTTATTTATCTCGGGGGTTGTTAATTATTTTATTGGAATAATGAAAATCCTCATAATCCGTAAAAATATTAGCGTTAATATTGAGTTATTTAAGTTCATATGTTCTACACATGCCGTGCGTGGGGCTTGTCCAAATATGCCTGACTTGACGTGTATGCTCTTAACCTCGTGTTCATTCTAATGGTAATGTCTGGTGTGGAATTTTTTACTTACTCTTTCCTAATTTCTGTTAATATTTTATGCTCTAATCATATTGCTTGCAAGTTTTCACTTTAAACATGGTTTGCTTTTCTATCTTGTTAGCATTCATTTTTGTGCGAGTGATTGACTTCCTCAATTAGAAATTTTGTAACTGTCCATGCGCTCACTCTGAATCTGCGCTCTCTCCTGCTGCTGACTTGAGTGAGAGACTAGCCTTGCGTTTGGAGTGGAGGCCCAGTAAGTTATCAACTTATCTCACTGGCGGCAATGGGGAAGAAATAAACTTTAGTGATTGGTGCGAGGTTGCTAAGTGAGCAACTTGTGCCTTCTATCTCCCTTCCGATGAGTGATAGAGGTAACTGCAAGCATGCTAGATTTTAAAGTAGTGTATGTGGCGTTACTCTACGTGAGGCTGCGTTTTCTTGTTGCAGTTGGGTCAAAATGTTATTACAACTTTTTTGGCAAATCTCCAATACAAATGCCGTTTTCTTACCAAACGATTACTGGATTTGCCTCGTTGTAGAAGCCGCGTTGACCCTTGTTTAAGTATTTATTTATGCAATACACGCCATGTGTTCTAGTGAATTTTTAATACTCTTGACGTGTGAAAACTTGTGAACCACGACGCGATCTGCTGTCGCTGTAGATGATCTACACGTTGAGGTTGCATGTCGGTCTATTTTACACTAATTCAACAGCACCATGTGCTATCATGTTGCTCTATTTAATCTAATTCTGCAGCACCGTGTGCTATCATATTGCTCTATTTTAATCTAGATATAAAAACAGATATATTTGGTCGTTGGTTCTATAATTATATAATGGCTGGCGATGCCTATTCTTTCTCAGATCTTTACCGATGAAGCTTAAGTTTCTGATATGATGTAAATTTTTTATCATATCTTTTGATGCAACTTTTTTTTTATCACAAAATCTGAGCTCTGGAGATTAGTTTGAAATATTTTCCATTTAAGATCCCTTTTGAAAATAAATGAGATCTTAGTTAAAAGTTAATTGATTCTTGATGCTTGATTGTTTCCTGAGTTCAAGGTTTGTCGATTCTTGATGCTGAAATGAGAGTACGATTTAGTTTTGCAATTATTTGTGTATTTGTTGAGTATCTTCTAAGGTACATCATTGGCCATTAGCAACACTTCGATTGTAATGCTGTAACTAGATTTATAGCAGTGCTTAAGTTGTAATTTGATCGATGGCAACGATGCTTTCAACTGGTCCTTGGCAATATGATTGCAACAATAACGATTCAACGAATAATACAATTTGCTTGACCATGGTAAATGGTACGATCTTAATTATTATCGTGTTAAGGACTGGAAATAAAGTGTATTTATATGTGTTATCGTAGTAATTGGGTCTGGGCTGAATATTATGGGAACGTTAGCTGCCAGTAAACTGGTCCCTGCTCTGAATACAGATTGTGTCTCTAACCTGTCTATAAGATTGTGTGAATTGCGTGATTGTGGCACCAAGTGGCCTTTATTTTTTGCCATCTAATTGGTTACAGTCCTATGATAATCATTTTTTTTTTACTCCGTTTGTGTCTCAAAGTTATCATCAAATGATATTTCATGTTAAATTCGGCTTGCTTAGTACAATTGCTGTTAGGTTGGTTTAAGTATGGAATTTTATAGATAATGCAAGCCAATCTTGAACATATGTATGTAGTTTGCAAATGCGGGAAGATTCTTCCAACTTAACAATCCTGAGGGATTGACGAGTTAATGAAAGGGAGGTGATAGACACCCGGACGGGGCGTTGCGGGGCTGGCTGACGCTGAAATTCTCAGGGGTCTTAATAATTCTCTTCACACTTCGATATCCCGCCTTAAAGCGATCTTTCTTAACATTGGTGAATGACATTTTGTGTAATATAACTACTGACAAATGAATTTCAATAAAATTTTTTTGGAAGTTTATTTTCTGATGTTTCGACAATTGTTGAAATTTCTGTGGTATTTTCACGACGGCGCCCTGCAACGCTAGGGGCGCGACGACCCCCCGGGCCCGTAGTCGATAGACTGACCAGCATTAGTGTCTTTCTTATCAATATAGCAACACCAGTCACTTTACCTGTCTTTTGTGGTATTTGACCTGGATGAAAAGTTATTTCTCGTATTTAATTCTAATTGTTTATTGTCAGTACTTTGATTTTATTTTGCTGTGGCTTATTAAGTTGAGTCGGGATTACCTTGGCTTTATTCAGACCGTATATATCACGTTGTTTGCCAAAATGCCCTCAAATTTCCAGCCGAATTGTCACTGCTTTTTCAATTTCATGTTTTTAGGCCACCTATAAACTATGATATAAAAACTACCATCACGACAACGTTCCTGCTCTAAGATAGAAGAGGTTAATCAAGTTTGGTATGGCGCAGATGCTAGGCCCAAATATTCCTTATTACCTGTTATTTTTTTATAATTATGACCTCTTCCCTTCCTAGTAATTGTGATTTCAGCGTTGAACAGGCAAAATCAGGCATGTTGGCAGTCCCAGACAATGTAGAATTCTTACCGCTTGCCGGGGTTTCGAACCCTAAACTCACTGCTCCAATCTTGGAACTGTAACCACTGGGCCACTCTGCCCTTCTAGCTGATGGTTGTGTAGGTTGAATATAAGTTACCATGAACAGGTTGTGTGTAGCGAGGTCATGTTGGTTGAATGCACTCTACCAGATGCAGATTACGCTTTGAATTTTCCTCCCAAAAACATCCTCTGAAGTGTTGGAGGTTATCTTTTCCTCGTACAAATCTTATACAAGCAAACGCTTTTTGATTTAAAGGTCCGATATTTGGTATTATATTTTGAAATGTTCAAATCAAATAGGACACAATGAAACAGTTAGTGCTCCTACAACGCATAATACAATTTATTGCAATCCCAAAAGTTGAGAATATCTAAACATTATGAATTTCCCGAGGCCTTTCTTTCAAAAGTCACTCGAGTACACATAGGAGATTTCTTGTCTGTGATTGGTTCGTTTAGCTGGAAAAGTTTTTAGTGATTAGCTATCAGAGTTACGATTTTTTGGATATTATTTTGGTTTGTACGGCCCTGAGTTGAAACTGGTACCTGACGATGGCCAAATGGACAGGCAAGAGGACGGGCGTGACTTTCAACAAACCTGCGGAGCCGTCGTTCCTGAAAGAGTTCAAGAAGAAGGCAGGATACAAGGAGGATACTCGACTTGAGGATAAGGTACGTGGAAACGAAACCTTCGCTACAAAAATATTTCCCGACTTCGCCATCTTTGCGGACTATTGCTATCTAACGGTTACCGCTGATGGTATTAATAATACTTGGGTGAAAGGCTGAAAGCGTCACTCGCATCTGAACGTTATTCGCCCATGATCAACCTTTTTCTCACTTGAACATGATTATCTCGACACCCTAATTCTCTTGTAAACATCTCACGTTAAGAAAATTCTGTTCCGAACATAATTAACCCTTGAACAGAAGTCTCTCGTGAACATACAATTATCTCCTGAACATACATGTAATTAACTTTTGAACAGAATTCACTCGTGAACATAATTAGCTCGTGAATAGAATTCTCTCGTGAACATAGTAATTAACTCTTGATCGCATTCCCTCATTAACTTAAGTTTTTCCTGAACTTTACGTGATCTGTTGCAGTTCGCCGAGCAGCCGCTGGCCACCGCAGAGGACCTCGCTGACGGCGAAGAAGATCTGCCGCAGGTTAGTTCATGTAAAATATGTATAATATTTCAAAGGGCAGCAAAATTTGTTATTTTAATATAAAGAATATGTTTGTTTATTTTCCTACTTCTAAAACAAGTATTTTCATGCAAGGAAAATGGTTACATTCATGTAGAACATAGAAAACCGTTTTAATGTGAGAAAAATCGTCTGCTAATGTTAACTATAAAAAATATCTATCCTAATTTGGGAATGGAGTAGCAGATACTGACAGATGTCAGTTACTAGTATTACTGGCACTAGTAAGAGAGACTCCTCAGGGGGGCTTCTTACGCCCGTCAGAAGTTCTGTGGGATTTCGCGCTCCTAGGGGATTGATTGTTCCTGAGCGCCCCACCGCTGAGCTCGCGGTGTCTGACCGTTGGTCTCAGTTGTGGGGTTAAGTTATTATGTAGGTAGGATTCCTAACATTAAGTTATTATGTAGGCAGGATTCCTTACATTAAGTTATTATGTAGGTAGGATTCCTTACATTTCCCTTCTCTGTCTCTCTCGTGCGGGCGGCCGACGTCCCTTGTAAGCCACCTCTGGTTCGAGTGTCTTCATTATTGTTGCTTGTCACCTGTCCCTCCTTGTCACTTCGTCTTTACGTGGAACCGAAACGATAGCTGTAAAAAGATTTCCCAACTTCGCCAGCTCTGTGGATATTGCTATATAACGGTTACCGCTGATGGTATTAATACTTGGGGTGAAAGCGTCACTCGTATCTGAAAGTTATTCGCCCATGGTCAACCTTTTTCTCACTTGAAAATAATGCTCTCGTCAACTTAATTCTCTTGTAAACATCTCTCTTGAACTGAATAAACTCTTGATCGCATTCCCTCATTAACTTAAGTTTTTCCTGAACATTATGTTATCTGTTACAGTTCGCCGAGCAGCCCGCGGCCACCGCAGAGGACCTCGCTGACGGCGAAGAAGATCTGCCACAGGTTTGTACATGTAAAATATCTATTTCAAAAAGCAACAAAATTGGTTATTTCAATGTAAAGAATGTTCTTTTATGTCCTACTTCTAAAATAAGTATTTCGACGTAAGGAAAATTGTTATATTTATGTACAACATAGAAAACATTTTTAATGTCAGAAAATCATCTATTAAACGTAAAAATATCCATCCTAATATGTGGATATAGGCGGATGTCAGTCACTAGAATTACTTGCACTAATAAGAGAGTAATCCTGGTAAGAGTAAAAATGCGAAAGGGACAGTAAGAGGATTTAATAATAGCGCCATGGGGAAGTTGCAGTTTTCAGTAGAAATTTTATTTCAGCAGCAGCGTTATCTTAGCAAAGATGATCCTGACATTATGGTCATGTATTCTGGCTACTTGGAATTTTTGAAATAATATTGGGGGAAAACACCGGCGATTCTGGTAAATGTCAATTTCCCGTCTGCTGCGTGCAGGTGGTCAGCTGCGGCAGGAGCCTCTCTGCAGCAGAATGTGCGCAGCTGCAAGAGGACGGCCGCCTGCAGCAACTGCTTGCTTCAGGCTCTGCGCCTGCGTCTACTGAACAAGGTGAACAGCTCGCCTGCTGCTGGTGAACAGGCTCCCTGCTGCTGGTGAACAGGCTCCCTGCTGCTGGTGTGAACAGTCCGCCTGCTGCTGGTGTGAACAGGCTGCCTGCTGCTGGTGTGAACAGGCTGCCTGCTGCTGGTGAACAGGCTGCCTGCTGCTGGTGAACAGGCTGCATGCTGCTGGTGAACAGGCTGCATGCTGCTGGTGAACAGGCTGCCTGCTGCTGGTTAACAGACTGCCTGCTGCTGGTGAACAGGTCACCTGCTGCTGGTGAACAGGCTGCATGCTGCTGAACAGGCTGCCTGCTGCTGGTGAACTGGCTGCCTGCTGCTGGTGAACAGGCTGCATGCTGCTGGTGAACAGGCTGCCCGCTGCTGGTGAACAGCTCGCATGCTGCTGGTGAACAGCTCGCCTGCTGCTGGTGAACAGCTCGCCTGCTGCTGGTGAACATGGCCTTGCTGCTGCACATATGCCGGCTTTCTTTTCTATTAACCAGAAATAAATCATTAATTTTATTACACATTTTCGTTAGAAAAATTGTTTAGTATAAGTAGAAAATCTCGTATTTTTTTTATCAATTTATGCATTATGTCCTGCAGATGAGTCGGCCACACCCGTGTTCCGGCAGCCATCCAAGAAGCGGGGGGCGAATGACGGTCCCGCAAGTGTGGAAGACAAAGCCAGTCACGACGAGAAACTTAAGAAGAAGAAGAGGAAGAAAATGGAAGCGGAAAAGCAAAAAAAGCTCCTGTCTTTTGATGAAGACCAAGATTCCGAATGAAGATCTTTCATGGTCCTATAATTTAATTCAAGCATATAAGATAGCATATAAAAGATAAGTAGTATAAGTAAACTAAAGTGATTGTCAACTAGTTTCATTATCTGTAAATCTATATTGTCGCCGTAAAGTGATCCAAGGAAGATAAGCTGTGAATTTCTATTATAAAATAAAACAAAATTTGTCGAGATTGTTCCCAGTATTACAGAACGTTCCTTGTTAGGTTACGCAATTTGCTTTGTCGGTAATTCATATAAATTTTAGGCAATAATAAAATAGAAATGAACAATTTGTTATTCAACCCGCGAATACGGAAACTTTGATATCTCAGCAGCTATCACATTAGAGGTAGAATTACAGCTATGATAAAAAATGAAGAGGCTTACCTCCAATAATCCAGTAAATGAGCTTCAGTCAATATGAAGCCCACGTCTCAGTTGAAATCATCTCAAGAGTCTAGGTAATCCGTGGAGTTCTTGATGCCATTCTGACGGAACGTGAGTGATGACACGCATGGGCGATGTTAAACGCGACTGAACGAAGACTTTTCGTATTAATTTAGCATTTCAAGAAAGTTTTGTTCAACTCAGTTCAACCACTCCTAAACCAACCTCGAATGCCATATCTAAGGCAGGCGGCTTGAAGGGCCTCGTGCATGGTCAGTAATCACTGTATATAGATATATTTAATGATATATTCATTTCAGTAGTCACTATAATCCACAAAGTAGACTGGGTACCTACAAGCTGCACATCATCCGCAACATCGGCACAATTCTTTTTATGCTCTCGAGATGAAATTAATAAGTCGGCAATGAAAGCAAGATGTATCATTGAAGTAGAGAAAAATAAATTTCTCTTAAACATTAGGAAGAAAAAACAAACTTTTCTATAAATAAATATGCAAACGAATAAATCACAGACGCACAATTCAGAAAAATGTTTGGCAAGCGTAAATCCTGTACTATTATTAGGTATATATAAAAATATTGATAATGTACAGTTCACAAAATTATTTCTAAATAGATATGATTAAAATTCGACTTTCATGGCTGAATTGGAGGTTGAGATTTTCATTCTGGTTATTTCGGATGCTTGTACTTTACGTAAAAAATAAATGTAAATACGTGTATAGGTGATTAAATAAATAAGTTTGTTGTCACGTGCAAAGTTAACTAAATATTTTGCTATGTAAGGGCTCAGCAATACTAAAGCAAAAAAAAATCCTTTTTGATTCTTTGGTCACTCGTGACCTCAAAGTGAACCGGTTACGGTTACTAGCTTCTATGCGGAAATTCCGTCCAGTTGGTACTATGTTTTACAGTAACTCAGTCCAGTACGGTTATCACGTCCATAATGACTCATAACCAAGATTCTTAACTCACAGAACCATAATTACTGAAGAGTCATTCATAAATAGCTCCTTATATCCATCCTGTAACTTATGAAGTTTGTTATTAACAAGTTAATAGAATAAATAAAATAAGCACGAATGAAAAATAACAAAACAAGAAACAAAATTAAATAACATAATCATCATCTTCCATTAAATCTAGAATTACACAGGACAATACCGTTACTAAACTGTGATAATACAAGGATTAGTAGTAGTAGGTTTCTAGCGTTTTATGAAATCTTGATCTCCACTCGGACGATAATGGTGGTCGTAGTCAGTTTGTACTCCCAGTGTTGACGTCCGCTCAAAAGTCCCATCGCTCAGTTGAGCGGGGAAGGCACAATGTCGCGAAGATACTGCTAGGTCATGAGAATAGTATGTGTGGCATCAAGTTGGTATACAAAAGCAGGCCTAGAGTTCTCGGAGCAAGTTACATCGTGTCAGGTATTGCTCGAGGTTGTCTGCTCTAAAATTAGTTCGGGGATTCTCCCTTAGGATCCTGGCAAAGGTTTCGTTTGGGTTCAGTAGGGATGTATCGGGAAAGTAGTTCATTCAGTCGGCGGTATAGGTAGTTTGGGCACTCTGTTATCACGTGCATCACTGTCAGGGAGACTAGACAGTCGTTGCCACGGTTGAACTATACAAGGTTGACCCACGAGGATTTCAGTTCAGCTTTCTTGTTACGTCACTGAGATCAAGAAAGGTAAACAAACCCGTCGTTCCCACGACAGATTAGTTGACTGGTTTGATCGCATTTCGGTGAATGTTTAATGCCCGTGACGTCACTTAGATCAGTGACGTCACAGGCGAGCAAAAAGTGCATCCGCAAGTGAGCTTCTCACGGGTCAACCTTATAGTAGTTCAACCATGATCGTTGCTGTATGGCAATGGGCGGTATTTCATAAGGTATCTGTGGGTGAGGCATGTATGTGGCCCATCCTTAGCTACACAGATAATGCAAAAGTCGCAACCTTAGCTTATTTGCATGACGTTATCATACAATTTTCAGATCGGAAATAACAAAGTTTATATACAATTAGAAAAATAAATGCAATACACAATAAAAAGTAATACAATCAGTCTGAATCAGAAAAAGTTAATACATATTCAATTGGAAAAAAATGCAGTATGCAATCGCAAAAAATAAATGCAGTATTTTATCTGAAAAAATGCAATATACAGAGATCAGCTATGATTTTCCAGAAGGTTTTGGAATCCCTCCTCCAGGCACAGGACGGACGCTGCCTGTGGGCTTCGAGGCCCCTCCGGCAGGAACAGGTCGGGGGGCTACGGCAGGCTTGGGGTTTCCAGCTCCAGCAGATTTGGATGCTTCTTGTCTAGCAAGTTTGATGGTTCCTGTCTCAGCAGGCGCAAAGGTTTCTCTCGCAGTAGATATATTATTCTCTAATTCCGGAATTTTATCCGCAGCTTCTGCAGATTTAAACGCATTACTCCCTGAATTAGAAAAAATATTTCCGGCAGGTTTTGATGCATTGTTTCTTCCATCAAGATCGTGAGACAAAATGTCTTTTTTTGGGAACTCGGCTTCGGGAAACTTTGTACCCTGAATTTGAGGCTTTGCTGGATTAACCTGCTGCTTCAGAGGATGCGTTTCTCTGTCTGATTGCACATCTATGGCTGAGGACGGTCGTACACTATCTGATAATAGATGCCTCACAAGAGCAGTGTCAAATTGCTCATCTTTAGCCTGTGCCGGCCTCACTACAGGGACAGAAGGTTCATTTTTAGCCTGCGTAAGCACTTCCCAAACAGAAGCAGGTTGCAGGAGCAGGCGAGCTGCACAAGGTAGGGCAAGGAAGTCGTGCATTTGTTGCAGGAGGCTGGCGACGGTGAGACGCAGTTCATGGAAGCGTCGCAGCGACACGCTCATGCGGTGACACGAGTGACGTGTGTGCAGCTCCAGCGCTAGCACCGGCTCCACCACGTGCGCCACGTTCCTGAATATGGTTATTGAATTGTTGTAATAATTATTTGCACATCATTAGTGCCTTATTCATCTATATATACCTCAAATAACATATTAACAATTCTTGGTTTTCATGGAGTTCTTCCCGACAGTTCATTTATTTCATGCCCATACATGCAAGTCATTCATTTCATTCTATTTCTGCACGTCTATTACAGAAGATGTGTTTAATTTTGCTAATTCTAATTATAAGTAAGCATTGAATACAGTATTTTTTACTGTTGAGGAAGAGAAAACCTCAATTGATCACTTTCAGATGTCAAAAACTTCATAATCTAAAACTCTCAGTTCTTGCTGAAAAAATTAATTTAAATTATTTTGGCCATTTTCCAGGTGAAAATAACTAATATCACAATTTTTATTAAATTTTCATCAGTAGATGCAAGCATGGCATTCAAGACTCACGGGGGGGCGATAGCAGTCTTCAGTTGCCACTGAACTTGTGTAAGCGCAGGCAGCCGAGGACAGGTTTGCAGCAGCTGCTTGTTGATGGAGTCTCTGGCAGGGCCGTACACAACACGACACAGGTCCCCTGCCTGCTCCTCCTTCAGACTGTGAGGAAGGACGGCATTTTATTGAACTTTCTACTAAATATAAGTACCAATAGATGCCAGGCTGCAAACAATATAGGCATCCTAGTTCAAATTTCCACTCTACTAAACGTTATAGCATGGAAAATCTTCCAACTGATAGGTACCTACCAGTGTACAAGCAATATAGGTTGCTTTGTTGGAATTTTTATTCCATATACCAACTGATAAAAAGTTTCAGCAATATAGCACCCTTGCCTCAATCTCAACTCGACCAACAGAAGATTGAGCATTGCTGAAAACAATTTATCTAATTTAATATTATTATTATCATCTTCTCTAGCTGCACAGCTTTTATTGGCATTTTGAAATACTGAAGACTAAAGTTTCAACATGGAAATGCAATTTACCAAACAACACTAACTTTCTATGTCATTTTCAACAGTAGGTGATGACAATACAAATGTCCCTCATACCCAAGTGAAACTAGATCAAACTGAAGATGCAGCTGTCGCACAGTGTTGGCGTTCAGAGAGAGCAGAGCACTCAGAAGGGTGAGAAGACCACTGTACTGCTCAGCAAGACTCTGTAAGAAAGAAATTCTTTAAAATCAGAATTCTATAGAAATAGCCACTAGAAGGAAATCATAAAAAGTTTAAGAGCAGATGAGAATAATTTTGGAGGCTTTAATGAATTCAATAGCAATACCATTTACATATCATTTTCAATTGAATGAAAACTATTGTCTAGATGCCAAGTTGGCAAGAAATCATTCATTAACTGACAGGCAGGTTAACACTTACCTGCATAAAAATCATGTAAGTTTGAAATTTTTCATAGCCTTTAAATACATATTACCAGTGCTATATAATTCTGGGTGGAAAATCTAACACCTGAATCATATGAGTGACAAGAAAAATTTATCAAAACTTTAATATAAAGAATGATATGCTTGATAAAATTCCATTATTAGAAGGGAAAGAACTTTTAATCCGAGTCAAAGACGGCACAAAACATGTATTTTAAATAAATAAGAGAATTTTTATTCATCATGCAAATTGAAACACATTCAATTATCCAGTAAGGAAAACTAAAAAAACTCACTTGAGCCTCACTGTAGCTACTAAAGTTCAGAGCAGTGCATATGTTGTCAAAGGCTGCCTCACACTCTTCTTCAGTCTGCTGGTTTTGGAGATGAGCCAAACCAACTGAAAATGTTGGAATCATAAACATTCTTACTTGCAAATGATAAATTGTAGGCTAGGCAAAATAGTAACATATTTATAAGTAAGAGCATATCAAGTTTCCAGCCAAGACAATATAGACAATGAAAACTAAAAGAAGTGCCAAGACTAGGCATTTGTTTAAAAATGTGCAAAAATTCCTCAACCCTTAAATCCAAGGTATCAGATTAACTGACACGAAATTAAATCTCTCTGAGGCACATTTTGTAGAAAAGCCTCTAATAAAGGATGCTCAATGTTTATCATTCACTTGCAAGATGAATAAATTTTACAACACAAGTTAAATGAGTCTTTGAGAAAGATATATAAAGATATAGAAGGGTCTTTTTAAATCCACATTATGTAAGTGTGTAAAGTATTATTTAAAACAAGACTAAAAAACAATTTCCAGAATTTTCCCCATAACTTTTAAAGAATTGAATTGAGCACTTGGGAATTTTTACCAAACCTTGAGGCTTCCACTACTGTATGTATATATTAGGTTATATAGGAAGGAATACTGTCAAATGAGGTAATAAGGGACGGGCGGGGTAAATCAAGACAGTCGTGACACATTTCAAAGAAATGTTGTAGCAGCTAAACTAATCAAAATATTGCAAAACTAAAAATAGTAGCATAAAGTTCAATATTTTTACTATCTATGAAGCATAAATAAGTTTAGAAACCATACATTTACTACCTTTAAAAATCCCTGAAAAAAGTGTAAAAAATGAGATTTTGGAAATGTACCTCTGCTAAGGTCTGTAGCAAAAAAATATTTACCCTATCAAAAAATTTCACTTTCATAAAAGTTGCACACAGGTTTTGGCTTAAAAATGTGATTGACAGAATTTGCATATCTCATTCCATAAAAAAAATGGCAGCCATTTCTGCAGGATGGGCCAATAAGGGACACCTCTAAAATTGCATTTACAGTAGAACCTTGATTAGCAAAGGCTCTAGTTAATTAAAAAATCAATTAACAAAAAATTTTGACTATATTTACCTTGCTCAGCAAAAAATAATTGCACTCAATAAAAAATTAATGCATCATCAGTCATCACAAAATTGTGCATTGAATGTCTGATATAATTGTGCCTGGGCAACATAAAATGAAAAGTAATTATCCTAAACTATGATTTATTCCTCCAAAAAATATGATGGCTGTCACTAGAATATTCCTTTCTGTTCCAGGTATGTTTTAACGATCTTTTTTTTGTTTTAGTGAATTCACTTGACTCAAATTACAAGCCTTCCTGTAAGCTTACAGATAAAAAGTGCTATATGGCTGCTGATATGAAGCTTGCAGTGGACAAGGTTGTTGTAAATGCTCAATGGCATGTTCATGGATATGGTTATATCACCTCAATAATAGGGTAATGTATGGATATGGTAATATCACATCAATAAAGGAAAAACAAGTAAAAATCACAGAAAATGTCCTTTATTCTACATCTACATCTACAAAGGAGAAGGAGGACTTCAGATTACTATTAGTATCAGATGAGTACACTCTGCATGCTTCAAATGTTTTAAAATTAAGTTACCGTATATTTCAAGTGTCCCAGATAACCCCATTTCCAGGGGTAATTTGGTATGCTTTTATTTTGCCTTGGCACCTTACAAATAGCATATGGAATTTTTATTAAGATGTCATATGATGATATGATAGCCCTTGCAAATAGCTATAAAATGAGCCCAAACTTGTTTCTGAAATGTTTCATGGTAAGAAGTTACTAACAAAAAACACTCAAAACCGAACCCCATTTGATGGTACTATGCTAAATAAAAACTAAATAAATAAAGTTTCAAGAACCCACCTGTAAAAAAATATTTAGGGCATTACCGTAAAATGGGGTAACTTAGACCACTTTTTTTATAAATGATGCCATTTTTTTACTAGCTAAATTAAACTTGAATTGAAACATGCAAAATACAGGTCTATAACAGGTCTATACAGGTCTATAACATGCAAAATACAGGTCACTCACCAAAAATTTCTGGCTCCTGCCTCTCATATTCTTTATGTAATTTCAAAAAAAGTGATGGTCTTTGTTACCCCAGCTCATGGGGTATCTTAGACCGGGTGGTACAATCAATTTTATTTTTTGGTAAAAGAACTCCAAATAACTCCAGGTTTTGGTGCATTGTAGTAGAACTCTTCTAGTTACATATGCAAATGACAAACTTGAGGAAAGTGTCATAGTTTGCAAATGGGGGGCGCCACCCCATAATGAGGGAAATGTGACTACCTAATGGCAGCCCTGATGGGGTAATATTGACTGGCTTGGATATTAAGTTAAAATTACTATATATAAGACTCTGTAGAGTCTGAAACATAAAGAAAAAACATAAATAGGCTGTCAAACATAAAATATGTTATATATGGTAATTTTATATTAACTTCCAAGCTGGTCTATGTTACCCCGTCAGGGCTGACATTAGGTGGTCTAAGTTCCCCCATTTGGGGCGGCACCCCCCATTTGCAAACTATGACACCTTTCTAAAATTTGTCATTTGCATATGTAACTAGAAGAGTTCTACTACAATTAATCAAAACCTGGATTTATTTAACCAAAAAGTAAAAAAATTGGAGGGGGTACTCTGATAGGCTTTAAATAATACCTTTTTTTCATGGGTCACATTTTTAATTTTTTAAGCTATTAGATATGCAAACTTTTTAAATCTTTCTATTGTGTTATGTAGCCTCAGTATTAGGCCTTTAATGCCCATTGACAAAATTTTTCTATGCCAAATAGTTTTTGAGTTTTGGGGGTTTTTGTTAAAAAAACGAAAAGTGGTCTAAGTTGCCCCGCCGGTCTAAGTTACCCCATTTTACGGTATATGTTTAAAAAGACCACATACCTACGTCATACAGTACATACCTATGGGGTTTGCCTTTTTTCCAGCCATGCCAGCTTTTTTCTCAAGTATGCCAAGATACGAGTCTAATTCAGGGATAAAAATATTAAATATCAAATGGTTACAGGATAAACCAGACAAAAGTCTATGGACTTTGCTTCCCTCATTTCTACCACTTTAACAGTTCAACTGCAAGCCTCTGGTGCCATGGTCAGGAAGGTGCAGCGTGTACGCCGGAGGTTCGTTTTGGGATGTAAGCCAGTACGCCAGGGAAGAAAGTTGCCAATATGCTTGCTAAAAACGGAAGTGTAACCCTCGCCAATGCTGCATGATCAACACAGGCACAAGTACTTTACGATTGATGCCTGGCGATCGTCACAAACACACGTACTTTACGACTGATGCCTGGCGATCGTCACAAACACATGTGCTTTACGATCTATATAGCCTTTATATATGAGCTCATTATATATGAGAACATTATATATGAGCGCATTATATATGAGCGCATTATATATGAGCTCATTATATATGAGCGCATTATACATGAGCACATTATATATGAGCGCATTATATATGAGCACAGTATGTATGAGCACATTATATATGAGCGCATTATACATGAGCACATTATATATGAGCACATTATACATGAGCACATTATATATAAGCGCATTATACATGAGCACATTATAGATGAGCGCATTATATATGAGCACATTATGTATGAGCGCATTATATATGAGCACAGTATGTATGAGCACATTATATATGAGCGCATTATACATGAGCACATTATATATGAGCACATTATATATGAGCACATTATGTATGAGCGCATTATATATGAGCACATTATGTATGAGCGCATTATACATGAGCACATTATAGATGAGCACATTATATATGCACACATTATATATGAGCACATTATATATGCACACATTATATATGCACACATTATATATGAGCACATTATATATGAGCACATTATATATGCACACATTATATATGAGCACATTATATATGAGCACATTATATATGTAGTAAACCCAACGAAACTTTAAATGTAGCTCTTTGTAAAAAAGAAAGAATTAAAACGCTATCTTTAATACTTTTTACTTTGTGATTTTTTTAAAAGAGTAAGTTCCCACGCCGCACCCTGTATAATGCACTAGATCATAATAGAATGCACTAGATTGCATTAGAAGGCCCTAAGTCGCCTTAAAACGCATTAGTATGCACTAAAATGCTCAAAACCAGATGAGGAAGGACGTCGGGACAAGCCAGATCACCCAGATGCGGACGTACGTCAAGACAAGCCAGATGCGGACGTACGGTACGTCGGGACAAGCCAGATCACCCAGATGCGGACATATGTTGAGACAAGCCAGATGCGGACGTACGCTGGGCGTGTGCGCCAATAACGTTATTTTAGCTCTTTGTACGCCGCGTTGTTCGCCAGTAGAAGGGCTTGGAGCCTCGTTTACGCCAGATTAATCCGCGGAAAACGGCAGCATCCTGGTATGGCTCTGGTGTTACTTTTTTTATTAAATTTTTAGTTGGTTTTCATATAAAATATCATAAATGGAAGATTATTTTCAAAAAGCATAGTTGTCATAGAGATAGGTCCAAAATCCACTATGCAGAGGGTGGATGCAGCATCGCCAATATATGGATTTTTAAGCCCAAAGCGTCGTCGGCCATTTTAAAGATGCGTCGCCGGGTAATTTTTAATGAAAAGCCATTTTACATTTATAATGAGTAATGATGAACTATTTACAAGCCACGAACTTAGTTACAAGGTTGCATGCACGTGTTACCCCAAATAACTAATTTTACCCTAAAAACAGTCCGATTGTACAGCAAGTGTCAACTGAACATGTAATAAAGCAGTCTGACCGCTCTAATGTGACCGAAACTACACAATTGAAAAAACATTGTTTACATTTTTAGCAGGAACTCATCGCAACTGATTTCCGGACAAGCTTCGCTGCATCGTATTCCATCCAACGCACCGGAAACCTTACTTTTTTTTCTAAATAGTTGGCCGAAGACTGAGAAATATATTAAATGTAAGAATTTCAATCTAAATGTGTCGGCAAGATCTTCTGAAGACGAAAATTTGGCTACTGAAGCGTCGCCAAAGATCTTGCAATATTCATCCACTCTCTGCACAGTGGTCCAGAATGATTATGCTGCAGCCATGGACCACCATGGTAGTGGGTAGACTAGGTAGAGCCATTGGCATAGACTAGAGGCCCTAGAGAAAGTTAGAGAAGCTAGGTACTCAATCTAGTGAGTAGTGACATTTATAAAACTTTATAATGGGTTTTCTTTTACAACTTGAATAGACATTTATTTTAAAGCTCATACTAAATAATAAAAAAGGAACATGAGTTGACATTTTGACAACAATAATGGAATTTGATAGGTTGAAAAAGAGTAATGAGTAATTCACATTGGCAAAGCTGCAAAGCAGAGAGTTTTTTAGACTCTTCTTCAGGTTCAATGTCAAGTCCTAGGCTATAAGTAGAGCAGAAAAGTATCATGGATACCTGGACCACATACCAGCATCATCATACATAAGATTTTGGCTTAAATCTTGGGTAAATGAGGAAATTAAAAATGAACTGATTCTAAAAAATCACTGGTTTGCCACTATGATGAGTATGTCTATTCCTATTTCCTACTCCTCTATCAATCTAGAGTCTACCTCTTGTATTACCTTAGTCCTTAGTACCTATAACCTTACAAATAGCATACGGAATTTTTCAGAGATGCTATACAATAGCTCTTGCAAAGACCTTTAAAATGAGCTCAAATGCATGGTACTGACGGTAGGACGTTATTAACCAAAAATGCTCAAAATTGTCCTTTATTACCCTGTTTGACAGCATTTAAGGCCTATTTACTATTAGAAAATTACAAACAATTTATATCATCTCTTTGCACATGCATAAGCTAAATTAGAACAAATAATTTCATCAAAAACTTACTTTTTATCAATTTTCTGAAGGTTGGTTTGTCGAACTTATGACAGGCCCCAAGTAAAATTTGCACTTCTTTAGGTACGCTTGTTGTGAAGATTGTACGCGGCCTTTTGAAAGAATTCATGGCTGCGATAAGCTGACCTCCAGTTTTGTCCATAATTAAATGAATATGCTGTTTTTGAGCCTAGAGGAAAATTGAATGCGCTATTGTGGCAAATTATCCAATCCTATTAGGCTATCAGCATAAACCAATCTTATACGCCCCGCTCATAAGCTACAATTCTTTCTTTCTAATTTATTCTTATAGGAGCACTGGAAGCTAGTCCATAAAGCCCCTTGCCTAAACTGGGTTTAATTGGTACCTAACAGTCTAACAGCTCTGAAAGTTTAAGGCTTGGTAAAGTGGGATAAGAATAACACTCCTTACAAAAGGCAGTCCCTACTTACATGAACTAATCATTCCTAAATCTATCAAAACTGCATAATAAGCTACAATTGAGTACGGAGCTGCAAATCGAATCGACTACGGAATAGACCTTCCGCTATTTAACGAAATATGTCTATCTATACTCATACATTATAAAAAATACAATGGAACCAACGATGATTATTGTATGTTAATTGATGGTTGAGGAGTTCCTAAGTTCAAAGATAATTATGACTGTAGATGACACTGATTAAAAGCCAAAGCCATGAGATGATAACAGATCTGGTAACTCAATAGTCATATGGGCATTAGTAACAATAACTATTTATATCTAATGTAGATTATTATAAACTGATAAAGCAGTTTTGAATGAATGATAAACCCTCAGAAAAATTGGGAACATTCTCTTCCAACCATCGTTTTCAGTCGAACCTTTTGCTTACTCAAATCATGAAGTTCTCTATGAAGTAATATCCTAATTCATCAAGTTATCATTGATGTCAATAGTAGAAAATAATTCTTATCGTATTCTAACATTCTTTAGCTATACTTGTGAATCCATGAGCGAAAAATTAAAAAATCCATTGAATGAAAAACTTGTATGTATTAGCGTTCAACAATTTTAACACCATAGATCCATATGGATCATATCCATACACCTTCTTCGTGCTTATGACGTCACGTAATATCTACATCATGTTATCGGAATAACAGTAAGAGATACCGTACTGGAAACCTTCTTGTGCATCTACCTCATTCAGCGGTGTGCCTTTACGACGAACAGAGCGATGTAACGGTGCCAGTAAAATATTGTGAAATTTTATCTTCAGCCTTCAAGGCAACAGATTTGAGAAATTTGAAATTCCTTTTTAATTTTCAATCGTTTTTTTTTTTTTTGTCAAGATGACCCACACAAGGGCAAAAAAGGCATTACCAATTGAAAAAATTTACACTCATTTCTCTGAGTGTACTTTCTTCTGATTTTATTCCTTTTGGATAAATCAGAAATTACCTCATTCAGCGGTGTGCCTTTACGACGAACAGAGCGATGTACAGGTGCCAGTAAAATATTGTGAAATTTTATCTTCAGCCTACAAGGCAACAGATTTGAGAATTTTGGAATTCCTATTTACTTTTCAATTGGCTTCTTTGTTCGACAACACCTTTAAGGACCAAACTTGGTCAAGATGACCCACACAAGGGCAAGAAGGGCATCACTATTTGATTAAATTCCCACTCATTTCTCTGAGTGTACTTTCTGCGGATTTTATTCCGTTTGGATAAATCAGAAAAGTTACTTTGATACATTATGCCATGGTGGCAAAACAAACTCCCAAACCATTTGTTAGCTTGGCACATGATGTTGAAATGAGCGACGAAACGTAGATAAATTTATTACATTTCAGTAATTAAAGTTACAGGATTTGATATATAAAGCTTGCAATACTTGTATTTTGAACTGCGTATTTAGTCTCAAATTATGTCACCCGAACACGCGGAACTGTGTATGTACAAGATCAACTATATATTATGCAAACAAAGTGTACTACACTAATTAGTTATATAATTTTTCGAAGAAAACTGGAATAACATCAGTAATCGAAAAAATAAAATAAAAATTTTATGCATTATATGCAGTTTATTATTGAAAAGCCTTCTGAAATATAACTAATAAACTGAGATATTGACCTATAACAAAAGAATGTGAAGCAAGCTCAAGATAATAAAAAGGCACTATCCGTAAAATGTCTAAATAATCGCGTCTTTAACTGATATAAACTAAAAGTTTACCTTTTTTAAAATTCACGATCAACGCATTTACAGTGAAGGTTAATTTTGGTAAAAAGAATTATACTTTGTTAAAAAAAAATTATACCTAATGGTAAAAAGAATTATATTGATGCGGCAATTATACCTACTTATTCCGACACGAAATATGAATAATGAAAAAATAGTTTCGATTAGAGTGCATCAAGGAAAAGTATCATAAAAATGATTGAAGAAACTGTGCTACGATATCTATGATTATTAATGCGTACTAAGTTCGGTTAGCACAGTTTACGATCTGAATCGTAATCACGGCGTATAGACGGTATAGATAATCTTATTTAATATACTCGGTCAGTAAAGTAAGGCAACAACCCGCGGCGTCCCAATGACTTCACCTAAAATCTCTAAACCAACAATAAACTCTAATACAAATTTTATCTGAAGAGCACCCATAGCAACATCTACGAGTATGATGACCCTCAAGTTTATGACAAAATTGACAGCGGTCTCTCGAACACGCAACTCACTGTTCCAATTTCGCTTTGCTTAATCGCCCGGCCTCCTTGTCTATTCTGACCAGAAACTGTCGCACAGAGCTGGGATCAAACCCGCACCTCGGTTACTATTGGTGAACGACCTGTGCTGAGATGTTAATAAATGAATAATTACATACTGATATTTGTTGAACATTTGGTCTTATCAATGCAGGTGAATACGATACACACAAATTAATGAAAGACACAAATTAATGATAGACTAGGCAGTGCAGTTCAATACTTTGATCATACTCTGTAAGTCACCTTCGATGTTGCACAAATGAGAACGGTCATAAAATATAATTATTTATTGTAAGAATGTCGCGACATTGAGCCCATCTTTCACTAGGTTTTTACTTTTGAGGACTTCATATACAAATTGAAACAAATTACTATTATCGGTTTGAGAGGTAGCTAGGTGAAGTCAGAGAAAGTACGCTAACGAAGGCAAGAGATGCTTCAGTATACATTGGTATCCAAAGAACCATCAGTACCAAAATACAGAGGACTTTCAGTATAAACTGGTATCCAGAGAACCATCACTACCAAAATACAGAGAACCATCAGTATACACTGGTATCCCAAGAACCATTGTCAGCTCGCACGCGCTGCCTCCTAAACGTGACGCAAGTTTACCCCCAAAAAAACTAAAATGCAGTATATCACTAACAAAATTTAGATGCGGTCCCGATTCTGCATTAGGTGCGGCTAGAACTCGGGGAGCACGCAGATCAGCAGCTAATTTACACTTCGGCTGGGCTTCAAGTACAGCCTCTAAGTAGCTTGCAAGCCCGGCATGACTCGGCTCGACCAACCTTTGTCTTACTCTCAGGTCGGAAGAGTCTGAATTAAGAACTAAGATTCTTAATGTATTAATTAATTTAATTTCAGAAGATTAATTCTTCTGAATTAAGTCGGAAAAGAGATTCAGACCAGAAGATGATTTGGTCCTGTGGCCAAGCAGACTCGTAAGTCGTAATACTTTAGGCCGAGTGTAGAGACTCTTGAGCAGAAGCCTATGCGGTACCTAAATTTTGTTAGGGATATAATGGAAGAGCTCCATAGCGAGATATTAAATTTTTATCGAATTGCGTTTGCACCAAATTTTTGGGCCAGTATAAGCAAATCGGAGTATGTAGATGAAACTGTGTTCGCATACATTTTAAGTTCATACGCCTGGATAGACGGCATTTGCTTGACATGGGCATAAATTTTTGCACCATTTAAATTGAAATATTTGGGAGAATAAAATAGATTTTTTCCATCTACTTCTGATTTAAACAAATGCTCTTTTAGATTTATTCACATCAATTAGAGGTTAAAACTTGTTCAGTTTTAGGGAGGCAGAACATTGAAGCTGATCTCTAAATTCTGTAACTCTTGTTCACTACTAAATTGTTCAGTTTACAATGACAGCTATTGTCGTGCGTCAATACTGAAGGTATAGTCCGTTAACATAGACCACAAGAAAGGAGGTATGCTATACATGGATCGGTATCTCTTGAATTAAGTAATACCTCTCTCGGTAATCCTAGAAGCAATACCATGCTCGGTATGTCGCTAAGTGGCACAAGTGAGTCAACCCGATACACTTTTTCCGAAAGTATTCAGATATTCGAGTATTCGAATTTCCATGTATTGTTTTCACGTAATACGTAATATTCAATGTAAATAATCACATGCATGGTTATTTTGTCCACCTCCTTTAGTGTAGTCTACGCTAAACGATGTAGTGGGAGACTATATTATCAATATGGCTAATTATATAAAATACTCGATTTATGCTCGGTTCTGACTTAAGCGAAATTCAAAAGGTATTATATTAAATATTAAAGGTAATACGAAACTTTTACGGCATGACAAACTACAAACACACACAACACACACACACACGCACCGTAAATGAGTTAATTAATTTTTTTCTATTTTGATTATTTTAGAACGTCAGCCATATGGCATCTCACAATCGACGTTAAACGTTCAGTTATTTGTTATTACTACATGACGAATTCACTTGGCATCATTTTTGCAACTAAATTCTTGGTTAATTGGCATTCAAAGCAAACTAATAATAAAAAGAAATCAATTTAATATCCAAAAAGTTCAGCAAATGCAAGGAACATGTTCACGTGGAAAAATTGAGCGCTCAATTCAATTCTAAATTAAACATTGGACGACATTCATCCGCATGTGAATGTAACACTAATTACTCAATTGCATACATAAAATATGTGATTAGCGCTTTACCGAGGAGTTAGATGCTAATAAATTATATTATAAATTGCTATCTACGTCGTGCATACAAAAGCAAAACGTCCAGGTTGTAATCGGAATAAATCGGAAAGTGAGTTAAAAGGAAGTCGCAAAGTGAGCTAGAATGAAATGAGTTAAACGGAATTTTGGAAGTAAGTAAAGCACTTAAGTTTGTCTTTATACACACCAAATATATTTACAGGAATGACCGCGCTATATGATGATTTCTATGATTAATTATCCAGCATAATGTTTAAATGATGTGCTGGGCGAATATCCAATACATTTTCTAGAAATATTCATTTTCGATTAAACTTTCGCGTGATCTGGTCCGTACAGCTGTGCTGAAAAATTACATCAGTACATTCGTTTCTGCAAATTTGTTAACTAATGTACAGCGATTTAATTAACGTAATGAAACATACGTCTTTTTCAGGACCAAGGAGGCATCTTTAATTAACTCTTATCAACACAAAATGCGAAAAAATTTTCACGAGTTAACCATCGGAATAAAGTACAAGATTTTAAGTGCAAAATACAAATATACGATCAAACACAAGTATCTGTATGTATTCTGTATGTTTTGTATTTATATATATTCGATATATAAATACAAATAAGAAAAGTCTGAGTGACCACGAATATCAAAGCTAATTATACAGCGCTCAACCACTAGAAAGTCACGTTCGAGTTCATACTTTCAAATTAAATTTAATCTACGTTGTTCTTCGCTATTGATATTTGTATTCCAATAAGTTTTATTCTGAATTTCCGCAATCAGTTCCGTTAAGCGATTTCTGTCAACGAGCGATATCTGGGACGTTCTGCAGGACGATATCCTTGTTAGATTTTCGGAACAATTTGACAAATTGCGAATTTCGTACAATTTCCAACACAAGATTCTTTCTTAATTATAATAACACGCATTAAGACTTAAATTGTTATTGTGCTATTTTTTACAATGTTTACGACTCCTAATGTTCCAGTTGATCCCTTAGCGCAGTAGTTATTTCAGTAAATAACTCAGCGAATAATTCAAATATATTCAAACCATAGCGAACATTTTAAAGTATTTTTGCAGAGCCTTAAAATTTTGTTCGAACGTAAGATTTCTTAATCAATTGCGGAAATTTTTCATTGAATTTCCCATTTATTTTTAAAGATATTTCCCTCAGATTAATAATTACCGTTTTATCCTCTGTTCGTGAAGGCGTCGATAAATTACTTGTTATTTTAATGTATTCAAAAGACATTTTGTGTTTCTCGATCTCGAAAGAGCCCTGCTAAATTACTCCCGTATTTTTGAGCAGAGTTAGGAAATATTTACACTTGTAGGCCGGGAACAGAAACTTCAAAAAAATCTTTGCAGTTGAATCTTCATCGAGCCTTGCCATGGGAAGGCAATACGAGTGAGCCTTCCCATGACATGAGCCTTCCCATGTTAGCCTTCTCATGTCATGATTCATGTGAATAACATGCCATGAGCCTGACTCACATGGCTATTCCAGGATTCATACAAGCTACACAAGAATTATTCGTGTAGCAGCGGTGCGATGTACAGCCTTGGCCACACACAACGTAACATCACACAACTGAAGTGGTCACGTCACAGACATACGTGTCACTCCACGCATGTTTGAGTGAGCGCATTATATATGTGAGCGCGTTATATATGAGCACATTATATGCGAGCACATTATATATGTGAGCGCAGTATACATGAGCACATTATATATGAGCGCATTATATATGAGCACATTATATATGAGCGCATTATACATGAGCACATTATATATGAGCGCATTATATATGAGCACATTATATATGAGCGCATTATACATGAGCGCATTATGTACGAGCGCATTATATATGAGCACATTATATATATGAGCGCATTATACATGAGCACATTATGTATGAGCACAATGTGCACTTGAACTAAAAGTATATGCGTAGGAACGCACGAGTCTTTTTTTGTGCGCATCGGAGCCACAAATTTCTATAACAATTAAGGCAAATAATCTTCTGAGCTTATTTTACATGCAGGCAATTTGAGATCGAAATAGAATTGTTATGATAATTTTATAAAGATCGGATAGACAGCTAAAATTTTGTAGTTCTTTAATGTAGTTAAAACTGAATTTTTAGTATAATAAGAAAAAAATTCTCAAAATAAGCATAATTCGCACTATCTTTAAAATCGAACCCACAGCTTCGTGAATTTAAGGCTTGAAATTTGAAAAAAAATTTCCAAGTTACACACCAAGCATAACCATATATACATACATTCTCATGCACAGTTTACGAAAAAATCTGCGTTTCACCCTCTGAGTGAAAGAATTGTCTATGGATAATATTTCTAGAGCTACGTGCTATAGAAAACCACGAGCTGACAGGCAGGATCGTTCAACACCGCCATTTTTTCACGTAAACTTCATTTGAATTTTTTAAAGACCGTTCAATTCTACACTCAAAGAAACGAGTGAGACTTTGTCCAAATAGCGATGCACTTTTTGTCATTGTGCGGGTCATTCGGGTTGGGTTTGACCGGCCTGAGGGCGTATCAGCGCAACGTGAAGCAAGTGTGTCAGTATTGGGATAGGCCTAAATAAAGATTAAATAGATTGAATGCAAAATATTGAGAAGACGATACACGTTCTGTTATACATTTTGGGCTGTCTTGCCGCCATCTTGTATGCCATATACATGGTATACATCTTGAATGAAATTCACTTGAATGACATCATGTATGAAACATACACGGCCGCGATCTTTACATGACATGCGTTATTAAAAGCCTCGTGTATACTTTCCTTCTTGTATGCAACATTGATGGTCGTAATTTCGTCTGTATGAAAAAATCAAGTAGCCTTTGAAGGCTTATTCACCCAGAAAAATGAGTGACACTTTGTCCAAATCCTCCTTTTGACCGCATGTGAGTCATCCTGACCCAGTTTGTCCTATGAGTGCTACGTCCGCACTCTGCTCGTGCTGTAGGTCAGCGAGTGTGTCACTATTTGAACAAAATGACCCCTAATTTATCTGAGTGATCGGTAGGGAGAGAAGGCTTATGAAGCGAAGCTGGTGATGGGATCTTCTCCCACTTTGTTGTTTGAGTATAGCGGACACTTGAAACCTCGGACGAACATCAGGATGATACGCAGAGCCTGCACACGATGATACACGATGATACATAATGATACGTGATGATACAGGATGATTTGGCAACACGATGATAGAGGATGATTTAGCAACAATAATAATCAAAAGCTTGTTCAAATAATCTTAAATTTTAGTGTAAAATTTGAAAGTTTGATCTCCAAAGCCGCGTGGCCGCCTCTCAATTAATCAATTATTATTTATAATTAACTGTCAATAATTTTTCTAAGTTGTAAATGATATATTAGTAAATAAATAACAGTAATAAATAAGTTATAAGACTTACAGCACAGACACAAGCGAGGGCGAGGAGCGCGATGGCGAAAGCTTTAACTTCGTTGACGTTCTGTAGGTCCTTAACAGCCACGTACACCCCAGCCATGTGAACAACCACCACTGCCCGCACAACTAATTATAAGATATTGCTGCAACAACTAAAAATTATAGATATATCTATCTATTAATGATAAAATTGCAGCACAACAAATTATAAAACATTGCTGCAACAACTACAAAATCATATAAATATCTATTTATTTATGATAAAATTGCAGCACAAGAAATTATAAAACATTGCTGCAACAACTACAAAATCATATAAATATCTATTTATTTATGATAAAATTGCAGCACAAGAAATTATAAAACATTGCTGCAACAGCTAAAAATTATTAGAAGACCTATTTATTAAAGACAAAATTGCAGCACAAGAAATTATAAAACATTGCTGCAACAGCTAAAAATTATAATAATACCGGTACCTATTTATTAACTACAAAATTACAGCACAACGAATTATAAAACATTGCTGAAACAACTAAAAATTCTAATAATACCTATTTATTAACGACAAAATTAAAGCACAACAATTATAAACATTGCTTGAACAACTAAAAAATAATAATAATAACTATTTAATAATGACAAGATTGCAGCGTAAAAAACAGCATTGTTGCTCAGTGTCTTCGGTTAAAGAATTATTGCGGTGTCGAGAGTATGTTTTATAAATGCTTATCAAGTGTATTGACTACAGGCTGTAAAAGGTATTAATTTATATAGGCCTACTTTGCTATTGTTGTTAAAGTTGTCGAGTGTACAGGAGCCTAATTGTAAGAATCACAAGACACTTTAAGATGTTGAGTGGGCTAGTTTATGTACTCGGTTTTATCATTAAATTCAATTAGTAAATTGTATACTAGTGTATTGAATATCGTTTTTGCTTGCGTTAGTTGTCGAGTGCGCTGGAGCTTAATTTCAAGGATTACAAGTCACTGTAAGGTGTAGAGTTGGCTAATTTATGTACTCGGTTTTGATAATTAAATTCAATTACTAAATTATACATATATTATTGTATTGAATATTATTTTTCATGCGTTCAGCGCCACTCACCGGGATACTGCGTGAAGGTGTAGCGCCCGTAGCTGTCCAGGATGGAATTCTCCAGGATGAACCAGACGACGATGATGGCGGTCATGCTGCCGAACACCCCCCACACCGTGTTGATGAGGGACATACCCGCCATCGCCCTGCCCGCCATCACACAAAATAAGTAAAATAACAAAATTGAAAGTCGGGCAGAACTATGCAACAGGCGCCGCCTAGGACTCGGGGAGCACGTAAATCAGCCGCTCATGTCCGATTTGGCTCTGGATTTGAATGGCAGCTACTAAGCAGCTTACTAGCTCGGTATGATTCGGGAAAAACAACCCTTGTAATACTCTCAGGTGAGAGTACAGTAATAATACTCTCAGGAGAGAATATTATTACTTTACCTTGTAAAGTGAGATAGGAGATTCCGGCCAGAAACTGATTTCGATCGGGTGGCCTAGCAAACCCAGAATAACTTTGCGCCGAGTGTAGCGACTCTTGGCAGAAGCCTGGGCGGACCCTGAATTTTGTTAGGGCACCAACCCCTAACCCTCCCCACACCGCGTTGATGATGAAAATCAAAACTGTGATTGAAAAATGCTGAATATGATGAAGGCCTGAAATCATTGCAACCGATGATGTAGGAAGTTCTTGTCACTCGAGACAGCTGAGGTTAAATTGTTAAAAAAACATCTATATAATAAATAACACAGTCAATGTCCAAATTATCCATCGAACCAAATTAAATCACCTACAATAAGAAAATAATTTCTACGTATAGAGAGTTAGCTCAAGTATTATATATAATAACCCTGAGTTAATTGTTAACAGTTAGCAATCGATCACAGCAAGTTAAAAAAAACTCACTATAATATTGAATGATAATGATGATGCGGACGATAAGACAGTGTAAAGGGAGGAAGATAGTGATTAAAGGAAACAAAGACATAGTATTAAGATAGATTAGTAAATAGTAATACAAACTAATGATGTGAATCACCTGAGAGTGACGAAGAGTACGTAAATGGCCTGGATGGTGAGCCAGGCAGTGAAGCCAGCCATGCCATTATGCCACAGCAGGCGGTACAGCCACAGCATAACGCGCGAGTGACGTGCCATCCAGCCGCCATATTCGTGCACCCTGCGCAATATAACGTGTTGTAACGAGTTGTAACGTATTGTAACATGTTGTAACGTGTTGTAACGAGTTGTAATGAGTTGTAACGTGCTGTAACGAGTTGTAATGAGTTGTAACGTGTTGTAATGTGTTGAAATGTGTAATAAAATAAGTCCGGCAGCTATCTCAATCAATCGTCGGTTATGGAAAGATCGGGTTCCAAAGGCCGGATCCCTTGTGAATCAAGTCACGAATAATTCAAGAATCGGCAACAGGCCATGGGCCTATTTCTTCAATGCCGACACTTCTATTCTATTCTATTCTATAATGTGTTGTAACTTGTAGTAACGTGCGGAAACGTTTTGTAACATATAATTAAAACACAATATTATAACAAAACTATTCCGAGTTCATATATTATTGAATATGTAGTTCGTTCTGTAGATGTCTGTCGTGGCAACCCAGCTTAGAATGTCGGCCACGGCTCCGGTTCTGAGCGCACGAAATATTTTATCACAATTTGGTTCTAAGGGTGGACCAGTGATTACAGTTCTGAGTATCAGAATTGAAGCAGAAAGGTGCGGGTTTGATCCCAGCTCACTGCGAAACTTATGGTCAGAATCGGCGAGGAGACCGGGCGGTTATAAGCACAGCAAAGTTGGATCAGTGAGATGAGTTGCGTGTACGAGACCGCACCAAACTGTGAATGTTAGTTAAGAATCGGCAACAGGCCCACGGCCTAATGAACGCTGGCACCGCTATACTATACTAAGTAACCGATAATTATATTTATACTGTATATCGTACGTTCTGTACATTTCTTTGAACGCTGACACCGCTATACTATACTAAGTAAACGATACTTATATTTCATATCTCTTACGTTCTGTATATTAATGAACGCTGACACCGCTATACTATACTAAGTGAACAATAATTGTACTTCATATCTCTTACGTTCTGTATATTTCTGCCGTGGCGATCCAGCTGAGGATGGCAGCAAGGATGCTGAGGACGGCAGCGGGCACGACAAGTTCCCTGTCGTAAACAATACTCCAGGCGATGACACAGAACAAGCTCAGGGTGAAGTTGAGGAGGAACCACGCCCCCAGAACTGGGGGACTCTTGTAGGCGGGCCCCACGGGGTTCTTGACGCACAGCAACACATATCCTGGGAAGGGGATTGTTATTATAAGGATTAGATGAGGGGATTGTTATAAAAAGGATCAGACAGAAAAATTCTGAGAAAAAATAAGAAAAAATCAAACTTACAAAATATATATCAGACTTAAAATCAGAAAAATCAGACTTAAAAAGCAGAAAAAAATAATAAGGACAAAAAAAAATTAGTGGGGATGGAGGGATAATTATTGAAGGGGTTATCTATCGATGCAAGAGGAGGAAGGATCATTATTGCAATGTTTTATCACTTGATGATGAGGAATGATCTAATCAAGACGAATACCTTTCCTATACATATTAATTTAGTAACCAAAAAAAAGTAACGTTGCCATAAGTCCATATATTTGAATAGATTAAGCGTGATATTAGGACTGTAATTAGCCATTTATTTGAATATAATATTTAAATATATTAAGCGTGATATTATGAAGTTAATTAGATGATTAAATTACCGAACAAGACGCAGAAGAGCAGCCAGCCCATGGTGATGGGCCACAGCACGACCGTCCACTCGGCAGGGGAGGCGGGGAGCAGGTACGTGCGGTTGGTCAGGTTACGGTACTCGTTCTTGTACAGACCTAAGGGGGGGAGTGGTGCGTTTAACGTTTGTAAGTGGTACGTCTAACGTTTGTGAGTGGTGCGTTTAACGTTTTTAAGTGGTACGTCTAACGTTTGTGAGTGGTGCGTCTAACGTTTGTAGGCGGTACGTCTAACGTTTGTAGGCGGTGCGTCTAACGTTTGAAGGTGGTGCGTTTAATGTTTGTAAATGGTACGTCTAACGTTTGTAGGCGGTGCGTTTAACGTTTGTAAGTGGTACGTCTAACGTTTGTAAGTGGTGCGTCTAACGCTTGTGAGTGGTACGTCTAACGTTTGTGAGTGGTGCGTTTAACGTTTGTAAGTGGTACGTCTAACGTTTGTGAATGGTACGTCTAACGTTTGTAAGTGGTACGTCTAACTTTTGTGAATGGTGCGTTTAACGTTTGTAAGTGGTACGTCTAACGTTTGTAAGTGGTACGTCTAATGTTTGCTGAGAAGGAATTTAAAAGCGAAGAAAACGCCAAGCAAATTCACCATATTCAATACCCTATCGATATGGTGAATTGCTTGGTGGTTAGGTTAGGTTAGGTTGGGTTGGGTTGGGTTAGGTTGGGTTGGGTTAGGTTGGGTTGGGTTAGGTTGGGTTGGGTTAGGTAGGGTTGGGTTAGGCTGGGTTGGGTTAGACTGGGTTAGGCTGGGTTGGGTTAGGTTAGGTTGGGTTGGGTTGGATTAGGTTGGGTTGGGTTAGGCTGGGTTAGGCTGGGTTGGGTTAGGTTTGGTTAGGTTAGGTAGGGTTAGGTTAGGATATGTTAAGCTAGGCTAGGTTAGTTTAACAGGACGAGAAGTATGTTTGTTGATATGTCGATGAGAGTGTGTATGTTTTTTTATGTTGACGTGAGAGTGTATGTCTTCAGATTCGAGTGTTCAAATTCGTGTTTATGTATTGAGAACATATAGGTTTGTGTATTTTTTCTCACATGAGTTTGTTCTTTTTACGAGTGTTGTATAAAAATACAGCACACATTGAAATGAATTCTTCAACGCTTCATGTTCTAGCGCAATCATATGAAGGGATTATAGGAGAGAGAGATATCAACTTGTGCAGATAACAGAAGTTTTTGTATTGCAAGACCAAAAAGAGACAAAGCTGTCATCAGGGAAGCCTGGGTCGTCGCGTGAAGGTTTTCGCTATCGCTTCGTGTCACGCACGCGTGTCTGGAGTTTGGCTAATGAAGAACTTGTCCAGCACTAAATAACTGTAACTGTACTGAGCGATAAGCTGGACGATAACTGATGAATAACTGTCCAGCAGTACAAGAACTGCAATTACAGTTCTCTAAGCTTGCGATAAACTGGGCAATAGCTGGTGAATAACTTGTCCAGCAGTAAATGACTGTAACTGTACTGGGCGATAAACTGGACGATAACTGATGAATAACGTACTTGTCCAGTAGTGATTGGCTGTAACTGCACTGGGCGATAAACCGAACGATAACTGATGAATAACTTGTCCAGTACTAAAAAACTGCTTTTACAGTTGCAGTTCTTCAAGCTAGCGATAAACTTAACGCTAACGGATGGATGACTAGCACTAAAAAACTGTAACTGTAAGTCAGTTAGCGATAAAATCAAGTCAACATGTTTTTTTTATAATCGAAGGGAAATAATCATTTCGTATTTGGTAAAATAACTTCAACTTAATTCGTGCAGTGAAGAAGGGAATGATGCTTTAACAAACTGCGTGGAAATATTAGACACGTTAAGTCCAATTTTATTCGATGCATTTTTATCAAAGCATTCACACCAGCCGTGAAAGGCACCTGTCGCATGCCTACTGTGTAAATGCTTCTATGGAAATGCATTAAATAATATTGGACATCACCGTGGGTGGCATATGCCTGGCACGTGCCCGGAAATATGGTGTGAACCTGGCCTTATGCGCCCAGCGTTTATATACCCTAATGTAGATTTTGGCATGCGCATGGTCGGCACATAATCGGAGGGCAGTCGATTAAACCAATGCCGTATCCAGGATCCGACGAGAGCTGAAGTTCCAGAAACGGTAACGATTCCTGGTACCGCGGCAGCGGCGTTACCAACACCCGCCGTAGCCATGACACCCACGGAGTGAAGTGGCATTAACATTCATCATTTCGCCTCCCTTGCCACCACCCCTCTATCAGCCACCACATTTAGCCTCAATTGCCACCACCTTTTCTTTCAACCTCCTCATTTAGCCTCCCTTGCCCCCTCTCCCTCTATCAACCTCCTCATTTAGCCTCCCTTGTCACCACCCCCTCTTTCAACCTCCTCATTTAGCCTCCCTTNCCTCCACATTTTGCCTCCCTTGCCACCTCTTTCTCTTTCAACCTCCACATTTTGCCTCCCTTGCCACCTCTTTCTCTTTCAACCTCCACATTTTGCCTCCCTTGTCACCTCTTTCTCTTTCAACCTCAACATTTTGCCTCCCTTGCCACTACCCTTTCTTTCAACCTCCACATTTAGCTCAACCTGTTGCCTCCCCCCACACCGTTCAACATTCGCATTCAACACCTCTTGCCACTCCCCTCTTTACCCTCACTCAACACCCTTGCCACTCTCCTGTTCAACCACATCTCTCAAAATTCATGCCACTCCCTTCTTTCCCTCCCCATTTAACTTCCCCTCGCTACGAGCTCCCCGCTCTTTACCCAGCACTCAGTTAAATAAAAACTATATATTTCATTAATAAGGTACAGAGAGAGTTTTCTAACAAGACCCCGAATTTTCCGTGAAATATTCGGTTCATAACTTTTTAAGTGTATCTATGGGTAGGCCAATTTATCAATTATAAGTTGATTGAAAACGAACAACCGCTATTACCGGAACTAAACAAATACATGCCAATCATGCAGTCACGTACCGTAAACCGAGTCCGACGACAGAAGAAGTGCCAGCGACGCCATATTGGTTCAGATTACACCAATATTATACAACGCTATATTATACAATGATGCGAATTGCGAAACTAATTTTTGAACGGTCGATTGTTAATGATGAACGTTAAGTGGCCGATAAATCTTGATTCATGTTTCTAGGTTTCTAGATTATTATGTTCACATCGCTTTGAGATGACTGCATCGTCACGACCGCTTCTTTCATTCATTTTCTATCAACAAGATTCCAACAATCAACGTGGAATCAGCAATATACATCTAATAAAATAAGCAAGCTAACATTTGATTCTCATTAGTATAGATTGTCGCTGCATTCCCGACCAACCATGCTTCACTGTTATAATAAATGTTATACAGTTATAATATAAATTAAAACGATGTTAATTATATAACTTAGCGAAGAAACACTCTGGTAAAGATGGACGCCCGAAGCGAACTGGACGAAGCGTTCGCAGTGGCCTTCCAGTGCCTGCAGACACGGCGGTAACCAAGGGCGGCACACTCAAACAGTCGTGTGACCAACGTGACTAATGTGACCATCGTGACTAATGTGACCAACGTGACTAATGTGATCATCGTGACTAATGTGACCATCGTGACTAATGTGACCAACGTGACTAATGTGTGACTAATGTGACCATCGTGACTAATGTGACCATCCTGACTAATGTGACCATCATGACTAATGTGACCATCATGACTAATGTGACCATCGAGACTAATGTGATCACCGTGACTAATGTGACCATTGTAACTTATGTGACCATCGTGACTAATGTGATCATCATATATTATTGGTCTGTTATTAGCAGGTGAACTTTGTGACATATATATAGGCCGTTATAGATGATGGACCTTCAATTCAAAGATTCTAATTATTTAAATAAGTCACTATTGAAAATCCGATAACCATGCTTGTACGAGTTAAGACTTTAGATTTAAGATATTAATATTCCCTCATTCTTCGTTTGTTTCCCGGAGTATTTAAAGCGGATTCTTAGCTGACATGTAATAATTGAGTATCCGGGGCTCGGTGTATATATGATGCCACTAAACGGCCACCGTAATTCTTGTCCACAATCACCGTAAGCCTTATTAATCACACGAATTTGTCGCATGATTTCCGGTACTATTACGATATGTAACGTATATCTGCCGACAGCGAGTTAATTAATTTCTACTTCTTGTTTTTCCGAGGTTAAAATTCTTGATCCAATTTTTCCGCCATCCTGCATTGTGGGCACATATAATAGCCAAATTGACCACGAACTGCCAGCAATATATTGGCATGTAATCTTCCAGCACTGCTAAGGTGTCGGCACGATAACGATGCTATTACTAACGGACCCAAGGCCGCCGCAGTCAATTGTCGTCATACAGCCAAAAGGTAGCCAAGGAAACAATAGCGTTAGCCAAGAAAACAATAACACTAGCCAAGGAAACAATAGCGATAGCCAAAGCATCCGCCAATAGCTTCTGTATTTCCAAGAAGACGTTTAAAAATACAAGCGAAATTACTACGGAAAATCTGCCTGCAATTTGTGCTAAGTGATTGACAAGAATGCCTCCATAGGGATTTAAATCCAGACAGCTATCATTGCATGCAATAATTGAACCATGTACTATTATTCATAATCCATTATTAATTAATGAATTATTACTCAAACTAAACTTTCCTGCTCATGGATTTTAGTTATTGCTCCTGTAAACGAGCCGACATGAGATGCCTGAAATCAGAATTCAGTTCATCATTAATATATTTATTATAAGATGTATTTATCTATAAAGCGAAACGCGCAAAGCTCATTCCTCATATCTATCGAAAGGTTACAAGTTATACATATGAATGTAAACTCAAGAGCCTAATATCCCTCCAAATTACAAGCAATAAAGTTCATTTAGGGCTGTGCACAAGGCCATGCTGATGTACCGTCCTCGACGGCCACCAAGCTCCGCCCACCAGCGACACCGAGAAATTAAATGAGCTTCCTCAGGCTCGAACCCACGACCCGCTCCTGTCTCATCTCAGTACCGCTACTACTGCGCAACTGTGGTAGCACCTACACCACGACTGTGCGATGAATTATTGTTTACTTAACTGCTGAATGATGCTGTATAGCATTCATACTTGTATGTCCAATCATTTATTTGTTGCTGAATATGTAGAGACTCACCTGTTTTGCGGGGGCCGTTCCGAGCCTCGTTTGGACGTTCGATGCGGACACGCATTCTTGCTACCACCAACGATTGTAGTTAAATATATAATGTTTCAAGAAGTTTCTTCGAATAAAAAACTTTTACGGCGTATTTAATTATGTCAGTTACGTCGAACTCTGCACACAGTGAGACAGTCAAATGGGATGAGTAGCGATCCCACCTCTGATCAGCAGGCAACCCCAAGAGAGAAAGTCGTTCAGAAGCGTTCAGTTGGACGGCAAATCGCTCGCCATATTAGAGGTAGGGGAGAAAGTGGGTTCTAATGACCCATTAGTAGAAAGGTACGAACCCTCATCGAAATCTCGGGCGATTTATTGGTGGCCATTGAAATGCCTTGATGAAACGGCGTTCAATTTTAATAGGGGGAAAGACTTTGTAAAATGGCTAGCAGAACTCAGTCACGACACAAAACTGTAATTTTGATTTATAGCTTTTAGAAAAATACAGAAATCATTCAATGCACAGGCGAAAACCGCTAATTTCTGATGTTGTCTCTCGTTTCTCACGTAAATTAGATAGTTATAACTTATACGGAAATTTGTTCCTGTGTAATTATTTAAATCATTGTTAATTTTATACAAATGTGTTGAAAGATTACCGCGCTGTTGATTAATGTAGTTAGAATGCGTGAAATGACATATTATAAAACTTCAATTCCATAATAGATGTTTTAGAATACGAATTTATATCGATGTATCCCAACGTCGTCAAGAAAGCACTTACAATTTCAACGATTTATCGTAAATTTATAATTAAAATCTGCTGTCCACGAAGATTAAATATCTAACTTGCGATTTTCAGACGAATAATAAAGGCGAATAAAAGATAAAATATGAAAATGTTTCTCAGAATCTGGCCTTCGTTTAGCGTGTAAGCTTAAATTGCCAGTCATGATCGAGCGGTCACTTCACGCTAGGCCAGCATGCCAATCTAGAGGGAAAGCCGCTATAACTACGACCTTGAACTCGTTGACCTCACACACACACGCATGCCCTCGGCCTAAACCCTCACTAAACTAGAGCAAAGCCACAGAGCACACAAATAGTGAGGGAAAATACGGAAATGTCAACGCCATTGCATAGGAATTTAAATAGGGTGGTATGTTAAACTTAATAATAAATGTCGCTGCTCTTGTAAATGTACGAATATCTAGTAATTTAATTATTTAAATGGATAATTTGCCGAAAAATATTCATAAATTTTGTAATGATTACTCAGTTTTGTATTAATAATGTGTTTAAAAATTACTTTTTTAAAGAGAACACTTCTAAAGAATCCTGTGTCTTTGAAGTTACACATGTAAAATGAATTTATAATTTTATTTACAAATATTAAAAAAATTAATTTTCAAATTTTTTCCTAAATAAATTTTTTGTAAAATTTCAAAATTATTTATTCTGTCAACTGATTCATGCATTGTCTCTGATTTTATGCAAGTGTGCAAAATTTCAAATCGATTGGACAGGTAGAAGTGTGTCAAATATCGATTATAAGATTTGTTGCAGACAAAATTATTTATAGATTTCTTTAATATTGAAAAAAAAATTTTTTAATTTATTTATTCTGTCAATTGATTCATGCATTGTCTCCAACTTTATGCAAGTATGTAAAATTTCAGATCGATTGGACAGGTAGAAGTGTGTTACATATCGATTATAAGATTTATAGAAGACAAAAATTTTTTTTAATTTTTCAAATTAAAAAAAATTAGTTCTTAAAATTATATATTCTGTCGATTTATTCATGCATTGTCTCCAACTTTACACAAGTGTGCAAAATTTCAGATTGATTGGACAGGTAGAAGTGTGTTAAATATCGATTATAAGATTTGTAGCAGACAGACAGACAAACAGGAAGCGAAGTTAAAGAGAAGTGTTGTAAAAACTAAGCAAAATCCGCCTTCATTTATATCATTGATGTAATATAAATATTATCACATCAATGTCTTGCCAACATGATAAAGAGATGGGCTAAGGTGTGAACCACCCAACCATAATATTACAGAGTTCAATTAATGATATTTTTAACTAATAATATAATTGATATCTCGTCGACTTAACCACAAGAAAATGGTCGTTTCTAACATTTTTCATTAGTTGCAGAGAAAAAAAAATCGAAAACATGAGTAGCGTGGAAATTATGAGAAATACAGACATTGCATTAGAACTCGAATATAATATCAGTTTAGTGAGACCAGTGTAGAGCAAAACGATCCCTACAAATATCCAAAAGCAAAATGAACCAAGTCATCACAGAATTATTTTTTCTCAAATTTGTTCTGATTAAAATTTTGAAAATTTTCAAACATTTCGGTTTAATCCGTCAAATGAAGAAGCTCAGCTAGACGGCACACGCTCGATGTATTGAGGGGTGACTGAAGTGTTGCGGTATGTGGACCTGGTAGCCGTTACCTGCTATGCTGCCTGCATGCTGATCATGCTCATGCTGGCTTTACTCATGCTGCACAACCTGCATGCTTCCACCATTCATGGTATCAACATGCTGCACAGTGCACAGTCTGCACGCAGCTCATGCTGTGGTATCAACATAGAGTGTACACTCTGCACGCAGCTCATGCTGTGGTATCAACATAGAGTGTACACTCTGCACGCTGCTCATGCTGTGGTATCAACATAGCATTCTTCACTCTGCACGCTGCTCATGCTGCCAGCACATCACATGACCTGCATGATTCACATGCAGGAGCGGTAGAGATTACGCTGCCGAGGTACAAAACAGCTATAAAAATGAAGCAGCTTAGCTTAAAATCTATTTACAAATTTCGAGGAGTTTGTGGCCGATGATGAGTCAACTCAGATAGGCTGATGATTTTAAATTAGTTAAGAAGTCGAAAATACCCTAACAAAATCTTGATGCAGCTTGACTCTGGATTAGGTGCCGCCTAGGACTCGTGGAGCACGTAAATCAGCTTCTTCATGTCCGCTTCGGCTCAGGGTTTGAATTTCAGCCTAGCTGGGCAGCTTGCTAACTCGGTATGACTCGGCTCGGCCAACCCTTGTCATACTCTCAGGCGACTATAAAGTCGGATATATAGGAGATGTTGATCGGAAAATGATTTCGATCGGGTGGCCAAGCAGACCCAGACTAACTTTGCGCCGAGTGTAATGGGTATTCGGCCGAAGCCTAGTTATGGTGTTTAATTTTGTTAATTTTGTTATGGTGTTTACCATAGAAAAATTGTTTTGAGAATTACAAGCGAACAAATAGTGAAATGTCAGCAGAATCTATATTTTCATTTTCATGCACGAGTCATAATGAGAACTACTCGTACTATCGGGTTAACCCGTGTGTTGCAGATTTTAAGTTAACCCGGCCGAGTGTGGCATATTTATTCAATTAACCCGTACGTGGCAGATTTGAACTTAACCCGTGAGTGTTGCAGGTTTCAGGTTGACCCGCGTGTGTGTTGAAGGTTCACTCGGTGCGGCAATATAAACGGCATGCTTAATCTGACGTAGCAATAAATTCAGCGTACTTGAGTAACCTGTAGTATAGCAAATTGATTCGACGTATTAAAGTAACCCGGTTTATTGAGGTTACTCGAGAAAACAGGTTGACCCGGAATATTGACGTAACACTGAAAATCATGTTAGGCCTGCGCAGAAGAACAACTCGGGCCGGTAGAGTAACTCAGCGTGCTGTTAACTCAAATTGTATAGTTTATTCGTTAACTGCACGAAATTGGTAAGTATATTTTCTAGATAGATTGAAAGTTTTCTAGATTGAAATTACAACGAAATTAGTATATATATTAACTTCGTGCATATTGTGGATTCATGTACTTTAATTGCTGGATATTGCACAACCTTCCTTTGATTAGCCACCTCCTCTCGAAAATATTATGCGTTCGGCCAGCCTATGTATAGGCCGGGCGTCACGAGGGCATGGGAAGCTTTGTGTATACGTTGCACCAACTGTTTACACGTTAACTGGGGCGTTGTTAACAGAGTTAACTAGAGCGCGGTTAACAGAGTTAACTAGAGCTCTGTTAACAGTGTTATCGTCTCCCAACACAAGCCAATCCATACAGCGTTCTGGCACGCCCACACAAAACACACAAACTCGCCTTGCAGCGCATGCCACATGTTCGTGTATATTCAATTTTTTAGCATTCATATACGAGGCGAAAGTTCTAACGCACATATCTGTAATAAAAAATATACTGCCATGGGGTCGACGATTTTATATTAATTAGAATGTCTAAGTGCTCTGATTTATTCATGAGACCAATAATAAATAATAATATCAAATAATGATAATAATTAATAAATAAAATATTGCTTGACTGCAAGTCAAAATTAATTCATTTGATAATGCGACTTAAGCAGTGAACTTCTCATCTAGGAATGATGTGATGATGAATGATGAATGATGATTTCACATACAACTAATTTTCGAACGATGATACTTATAAAATCTTTTGTTAACATAAACGACACGTCACGTTTCTGAAGACAACATTATACAAGTGTTAAGTATTGCTGTTTATAAGATCGCGCGAGTTATTCTGTTTGTGCAAGCGAAGCTGTTCAAGCTCGGCCATGAGATACGACACAGCAACACAAACACACACACACCACATAATATACAAACTCAATCATACGTATAACGCTTTGTTGACAACACAGGCATCTGTGTGGATGAATGCGTAGCCATCTCATTCATTTCGTTTGTCCGTTCAATGGACCAATCAAACCCGGACAGAGTGCGTTCACTGAGTACACTGGGTATGTATATATTCATTGTACAAAAAATGTATTCATTCAAAAATACAGAAAACTCATTTTACAATACATAAATTCATTCATATATTATTATAAAATACATTTATTCACCCACATCCAATGTACTCCTGTAGCTTGTGTGGTCTACACATCACGCATGAGTGAACCTACACACATGTGTGATCTACACATCACGCATGAGTGAACCTACACACATGCGTAATCTACACATCACGCATGAGTGACAAGATAAGTGATCACGCATGA